CTGCAGTGCTGTCGTCGACGTGCCAAGTGGGTGACAAAACTACTACTACTACTACTACTACTACTACTACTACTACTATACTACTATACTACTGCTACTACTACTTCTACAACAACAACAACTACTACTGCTACTACTACTACTACTACTACTACTGCTGCTGCTAGCACTAGCTAGTAGCACCGCCGCCACCACGACTACGACTTACGACTGACGACCAGAGCTAGTAATTGTAGCCATCCGCACCCTCGTTTTTTGAGTCATGAGGCCGAACATCACCATTAAGAACATCATCAGCATCATCACCACAACCATCATCATTATCCTCATGAACATCGTCCTCGTCATCATCTTTCATCATTCTCGTGGACAGCCTGCAGATCGGGCTGCCTTTCGACGCCGTGTATACAAATTCACGCGAGAGCATGCTTCTACGTGTGAACGGGTGCTGGACTGCTGCGGTCGGAAGCGGTGCCCGATCCTCGGCAGGAGCGGAGCCACCGGCGAAGGGACGCCGAAAAGGTGCAGAAGCTGCGCAGGTGTCGCGGTTTGGTGTCAGAGCTTGTGCAGCAAAGGCATCATGCAGAAGATCAAGACTGCGGAATTCCAGAGCAGCACGAAAATCGAGGCCCTCCTGCAGGAGCCGTGTTCTCCTATCATCCGCAGTGAATCCGCAGAATCTCTGGGTATTCGTGTTCAAAGTAAACAGGAGATCCAGAAGATGCAGGCGGCAGATCCCTCCAGCAAGGCTTCGTGAGACCTTTGACATTCAGCCTTGTCAGCGCATCCGGGTCTGTACAACCGACTTGCCCGCTACCATTGGCCACTTTTGGCTGCTTCGGAGGCATTGGTCTTCTCCCAGTTCACTCGCTTCTTGGAGCTCATCGAGTGGCGCCTGAAGCGGGAGGGCATCTCTGCGGCCACTGTGCTGGGCAGTATGCCCATTGTTTCACGGACGGGGGTTGGGCTTGTGATCTTCTTTTTTTCCGTGCGGCGGCCGGTCAGAGCATGTCAAGACGGGAGGAACAACATCATCGTGTCTTTCCAGACGGAGCCTAGTCTCAAGGTCCTCCTCATCTCCCTGAAAGCCGGAGGTCTGTGCCTCAGGAGGGGATTCTGACATCTACTTCGTCACTACCAAATGTGTACAGACGAGAAGACGGCATGCTTGCTCGATTAGACTTCTTCACCGGGAGGGTTTGCCGAGGAGAAGGGCTGAACCTGCAAGCAGCGGACCACATCTTCCTGATGGACCCTTGGCATCCCTGGCCTGAACTTACAAGGGCGGTATCCTCTGGCGAGGACAGGTCGAGTCAGTCAACCTTCGCGCGGTAGGTGGAACCCCGCTGCGGAGGCCCAGGCCATTCAACGCCCGCACCTTTTCCTGTCTCACCTTCTTTCCATTTAGCACCCTCTGGCTTACAGAATTAAGGAGCGCATCGCATCGGCCAGACGCGGCCGGTGAAGGCGACTCGCTTCGTTGCGGCATGGCGCTCGGCACCGCTTTTTGGGCTTGGCTTCAGCTCGGTCTACGTTCTCCCCGAGGCCAACACAATCGAGGAGAAGATCATCGAACTCCAGGAGAAGAAGCAAACGGTGTTTGATTGCACCGTGGGCAACTCCAATCAGGCTCTTGCAATCTCTTGCGCATTGATTCCGGCTCAACCCATTCGCACGGCTTTGGCCCGCCTCTAGGCTTTGCAGAGGCTCACTGCTGAGGATATTCAGTTCCTTTTCAGAAACTTGGGCATGTTTTCCATAGCATTCCATAGCCGCCTCACGGACTTGTAGTCTCTTGCGATGCGGTGGTGCTTGCCTGGCCAGGCAGTAGCTGAGCAGAATGGTTTTCCGCCCAGTGGCGCGCCCGGCGTGTGACGCGCCTCTAAGTTAATGCTTGCCAAGCGCCCATCGGGCGCAGTTAGATTTTTTCGCAATCTGTCACAAGTAAATCGAGGAGTTGAGCTTACATCACCAGAACTTGAGCAAGATCCGACGGCCACTACTATTCGCGAATCCAGGAATGTCAAGGACATATGCACATACATAAATGCACAAGTTGCACGGCAGAGCGATAGGCGACGCCGGCACACCCGTTGCAGTGACGGTGCCTGGCCTGCGCATTGCAGTCGTGCGAAGTAGCACAGACCGGGACGGTGAAGCGGTGATAAGTGTATTGCAGACACGCCGCTTGTTTCCATCGCAGGCTCAATGCAGTAGATCGTCTTTCAGAGACAAAGCTTCATGGTCTGGGTCGATCCTGCGGGGAGTGCAGTGGGGCCGTGGGCAGGAGTTGCCGTCACTGGCCTTTACTGCGACGTGGCACCGGATGCCCTTAGCACAAAACGATCGAGGGGTGGATGTCACGTGGTTCCGGAAGTTTGAGGGGTGTCAAAGAGAGTCAGAGGCAGCGCTTCCCCTGTCTCTTGACAGAGCTTTTGTTCACCGCAGCCGGTTCGCTCTGGCTAAATTCACCCAAGCCCGCCCCGGAGTCGACGGAGTTCGAGAGGTCCGAGGCTGGTGCCAATCGCTTCACCACTCTCTTTGGACACATTGGTCTACAGCTGCACAGGCCGCAGCCACAAATGGAGCTGCGAACTAGTGCCAGGCACGCTTGACATGAAGGGGCTTTGTAGTTCCCTTTACCCAGGACCGCCCTTGATGCGCTGCCCAGGCAGCGGACTGTGAGATGGGGCCCTTCATGGGACTTTGCTTCGCGCGTGGCGGCTTCCAGAAGGCCGACAAGCACGAGGCGCGAGCCAAAGCCCTGCCGTTTGTGTTGTGCCTTCTCTTATGCTGATATCTCTGCTTTAGGATCGCGCTCGCTTCATGTTAGTGAGGATTTCCTGATCGGCATGTGGGATGAAAGCCTGCAGATTAGAGATGGTCCCTACGGCGGTGTCATCTCTCTGCGACAAAGCCCTTGCAGAGGCCTCCAGGGCCATAGACTGCTGTTTCGCCCACGAAGGCCGCGTGCACAGCCAGGAGGACGATGGGTGGAGCAAGGCTCGTACTCAAGAGTGAAGAGTGAACGCTATAAAGGTGCAACCCGGTGTCCTGAAGGCACAATGGCCAAGCTCGCCCTCTTGGCCTTAGAAGACCAGAGGGGTAGCTCTGCCAGGGCACCTTTGCCACCGCGTGACCCCTAGTAGGTAAATGAGCTACAATGCATGCAGCCGGTGCTGACAGCCAACGCGGGATGCAGGGCGGGGCCGAGGTTTATTTACAGCCAGATGATCGCCCCCTACCTTAGCTTCAACGGACGCTGAGCCTGCGTTTGATTCTTTTCCTCCTTCATTTCCTGCTTCAACGAGTACTGGTCCCTGTGCCATAAGGACCAGTCCCGGACCAGCTCTACGTCATTGGCGGCAGGGACAGCAATCAGGCCTGCGGCTGCCTTCAGCTTGCGCTGCGACAGAGATGCACGCGCCACCTCGTGTGGGTTTGAAGGAGCCACTCAACGTCGTGGAGATGTTCGACTCATGGAATGGCAGGTGCAATGAGCAAAAAACTGTAGTCTTTAACTACAGCACAGGACCTCGATGGGTGCCTTAGAAAGGTGGGTCACCTGCCCACCTATGCTTGCCAAGCGGGCAGGCCAGTTGCTTGAATGGCAGCACTTGGTTCAGATACTGAATGCTTCTGCTTGGGCTCGCATGGGCTCGCGTGAGGTTGTGCTGCAGCACCCTTGCCCAACGGAAGCTTCCTGGTCTGTGGAGGCTGTGCTCGATCCGATGTTTTTGTTTTGCGGCCGATCTTCGCCGCATGTGCGGAGAAGCGAGGCTACGATGAGCAGGGCATCGTACGTGGCGTGCTGGACAGCTGCGAGGCTAGTAGAGAGTGGCTTCAAACGCCTCCAGCACCTTCAGATTTCGGCTGTGCAGTCACATGCTCATCGCCCGGCAGGTCTTCGATCCTAGAAGCCAGGTCTGGCGCAACACCGGGGCAGCCGATGCCTCGGCGACCGGATCTTGACAGTTCGCTCGCTTTCACGCGGGCGCTACCAGGCCTTGTTGCGAGCACGATGGGGCCACGGTGCGCCTGCCTTGCCGCCTCCGTGCTGACACACTTCTGCACACGAAACGCATTCTGCGGCCTGCAACCTCCGAATGCCTATGGAATTGCCGAGACTTGACAGGCTGCTCCGTGCTCGGCACCTGCGCCATTGCGGCTGGAGCCCGAGACGCTGCGCTCTGCTTCCGGGCTTGCCCAGACCTTGTAAGAAAGCCATGTTGCAAAGCTTCGATGTGGTCAGCTTCGGAAGATTTGTTGTTTTTCTCAGGTCGGGGGCTGCGCTCTGCTGGGAGGCTCTTTGATTGGTGAGGAGACGCTTTCATGTTCGCCACTGCTACATGATGCTACATGTAACCGATTCATGGCTTCGGCACATTGAGACCTTTTGGCGTGAGCCTTGCAGCAGTCTTGCCAGGAGCTGATGGAGACCTTGCGCAGCTGCGAGGCATTTTCGTAGAGCGTGGTAGCCGGTGGCCGCACTCTCTGCGCTTTCTGGCTGTGAGGCCTACGACTCCCAATGCAACCAGTGGCGAGCAGCTCCCAACCTGAACATCGCTCGCGCAGGGGCCAGGCCTGGCGCTGCCCTTCTCTGCTCTTCTCCGCTTCTCGCTGGGCGAGTGCAGCACGGCGTTCTCCATGAAAGGGTGGTGACGATCACCGGTGGCAAGCTGGCGGCCGTTGGCGGCTGTGATGATGTGTTTGGTCGGGCAGAGCCTGAAGCTCAGATGGAGCCGCGAACGGAGGCTTCTGCAAAGCCGACTCGTGTGTGGTTTTCAGGATGTTGGCCAGCGTGGAGATCTTGAACGAGGGGATGCCCTGGCTTTTTTTCTGCTAAGTTTTTCTATGCAGCAAAGCGGGCGTTCTGCCAGGAATGATCATTGGGTCCTGCTGGACACGCAGCTAGGCGTTCCCAGGAAAGCTTGCTCCGTTATTTTTGTTGACGGTATGTGGCCGTGGAAGTCTTCCCGGCCAGGACGACCGCGGCAGCCGTGGCTCTGGACGCAGAGAGGATTCTAGCAGCTTTGATTCAAATCAGGAGATCGAGAACAACATGCTTCACAGACCACGTGGCGCTGAACTTCCGCTCGCGCTGAGGTGATGGGCGGTGCGCCCTCCCTCTCTTCAGCGGAGGCATGCAAGCGGCTAGAGCGGCTAGAGGAGGTTGTGCTGATATCTCGAGGACCGAGTCTCTTCCGCCTTGGCTTGTTGTGTCCGTGGCAGGTGTACCATGTGCAAAAGCGCAGCCCAGAACAAAGCTGCCCACTCAGAGTCCGTTCGCGTTCGAAGTCAAAGTTCCCCCAGTCCAAGGTACTTGCCATGGGCCTCAGGGCAATGAGATTGGGGACATGGCTGAAGGCCGCATGGGCTGCCAGGCCACTGCCAGGGTTTGGAGCTCCGTCGCTCCTTGGAACGCTTGGGGTTTTGGGGCAGGCAGTGGCCATGAGACTTCCTGCCCCTGGTCGGTCAGGGCCACAGCATCTTCTTTCCGTCCCTGTCGTGCTGAGCAGTTGCCCGCATCAGGACTTTCCCCACTTGCACAAGGCAGTGTGTTGTGGTGGTCGGTGGAGAGAACGGAGACGAGGATATCGCCGTGAGATCTGTGAGAGCGGAGCACTCTGCGGCACTGTCTCCTCAGGACTGGTCCGAGGACGAGTCCACGGCCTCTTTAGCCCGGCAATTCAGCACGGTGCTGGTCTTCGACGCAGAAGAAGGCGCCTGGCGACCGACGAATGCCACTCGGCAAAGTAGAGAAACAAGCACAGATCAGATAAAGAGCCAGGGCTAAGAGAGAGAGAGAGAGAGAGAGAGAGTGAGGCAGATACTGTAGGGGTCGGGTTAGTCAGGTAACGTGTTAGCACAGTTCACAGAAGGGGGCCCCCGAAACCAAGCTTGGTCAGGAGTTCTGAAGGTGCTTTTGCAGTCAGAAGGAGTGTCGGCCCCAACCACACGCTATCGGACGACCTGCCTGAGACCAACGGGGTTTTTCCATGGTCAGGGTTTAGGAAGGTGTTTCGGGGGGGTGGGGGGGGGGGGGGTACAATGGTCATAGGCAGGGGAACGAGGCGTTACCCCGGAAGGGGCCTCGAAGACAGACCTGCATGCGCCATGAAGGTAGGCCTTAGGGCCAGGGGGTGCGTGCACCCCAGACCCCTAGCAAGCAAGCAAGCAATGAAGTGAAGTGAAGAGCCTCGATAAAACATCAGGTGGACGGTTGGGCCACGGGTAGTCAGGGCCGCCACAACGACAGCGAGAGAGAGCGAGAGAGGTGCCATTCCCGGAATTCCGCATTTCACACCGACCAGAACGTACTGCAGTGCCTCCAGTCTGTTCCAGAAGAAGCAGAGACGAAGATTGTTTTGACTGGTTTGCAGCATCTCAAGGGGAGCCTTGGAGTACACTACACCGTTGGAAATGCTGTTTGCCTGAGCAATGTTGAGTGTTATGTTCGTTCTGAGAATCATATCTTCCTCCCATAGCTCCGCAGAAGGAACACAAACCGTAGCTGTAGCTACCGGCGCAGGGTCAGTTGCCACAATCAGCCGAAGACGGAGTTTAACTCCCGGCAGCCAGCACGTGTGGAGTCGCATGTCTCACTTCAAAGAGAGTGAGGAGAGAGTAGAGAGAAACGATTCTCAGGCAACAGCTCAACACTAGAAGGTCAGACCCCGGACTGCCATGGGCAGTAACAAACCAGCTGGGCTGGAGCATTGTGAACCTCCCTCACAGCATACTGAGGCCTTCCCACAACTACCGACACCTCGCACGGCCATGGCCCTGTGCGTGTCGCCGGGGATTGTGGTCTCGGGCTGAGCGGTCAGAGCTGCACGTCACGACATGTTAGACACGCAGAAGTGCGCACTGGTAGCGGTTGTTCGGCAATGTGCTGGTGCACAGGGCTGGCCAGTGCTGCCAAGTCAGTTCGCATTCCGAGGCTGGCTACGGCTGGTAGAAGTGGCGGCGACTGCTCAAAGAGCACGCTGTCAACCGGACCCGAACTGCATGGAACCCGCTAAACTGGGCTTCCGTTTTGTCGAACTTGCCAATAGCGGGCAAGGGCAAGAGCTCGTCGTGCTTACCTACACAAGCTTTTCTACTACGACGCGAATCGTAGCGTCTCGGTGTGCTCAGAGTTCAGGTGTTGGCTTACGGGATGCATTATGGACCCCAGCCTGCAAGCGAGGGCATTGAGACCCACGCGGTACCGCTGCGTCGTTACTTTGTAAAGGACTTCACACATCCCCCGACAAGCCCTCCTGGCTTTGAGCGCCCGCTGTCGTCGGGCCGTTTCTCAAATAGTTGACTAAAGTGACTAAACATGGCTTCTCGAAAAAACTTTGCAGATTTGAGAAACCGTCGTTTCACCTGCGCGATGTCCTGAGGACCTTCGCACAAGCTTAGGGCAAATTTAGGTAGCCCCCCGGCTGGAAGCACAGTGTCGTCATCGCTTCGGTTTGGGATGCCCAAGGGCCAGTCGAAGTTGAATTTCCTGAATGTTCATGACCGAAAAGCTGGAAACTCTCTAAGACTCAGTCTAGCAACCGTTCCAGATTCCAAATCCCCTCATGGGGGGCTCTACCTTGCGGGAACCAAGCCTCTCCTGCCCAGTCGTGGCTCTCCAAGCCAAGTCCTGGCTGAGGGACGAAGAGCGGCGGTGTCGCAGAGAGAGAGAGATGTAAGTAGAGGCTATCGAGAAAATGAAACCGTCGGGAGCGAAAGTGACAGGATGCTCAGTAGGCTTTATGGACTGGGAAGCACGAAACCCCGCCGGGACAGGAGGCCAGGGAGTGGCGCCGATGGTGGTGCTCACTCGAGACCGCTCGTGGTGGGGGGAGTCTGCTAGGTCAATGCTTTTTTGGCAAAGAAAGCCTTTGCATCTCAGGGAGAATGGAGCCGAACAAAGAAGCGAGCACAAGCTGCGACATGTTGCGCTGGCATCTCGGAGTTTCCATGCCGGCAAGATACTTGCATACTGTGCAATCTCTGTGGTTTCAGAGCCAGCTAGATTGCCAAAGCTCTCCCCTAGAACTGATGCTTGATGTTACACATGATGTCCTCAAGTCCTCAAGTACATAAAGCTATACATTGCCTGAAGTTCGGGGAGGCCGAAGGCATCGAGTTCTCGTGTGGTTTTCCGGCCATGCTTGCCCCCGCCGCACGGACGGGACAGCGCCCGGCGCACGTGCATTCCGCGCCGGCGCCTGCTCTCGCAGCGCGGATTGAGCCGCGGGACCGTGACTTCAGTGCGCTGCCGAGCAGAGGCATCCAAAAGCATCGGGGCAGGGAGGGCTTGGGCAGCTTGGGCAGCTTGGGGGTTCGGGCTCGAGGCCTAGCCCTGCCCGCTGTCGCAGTGGTGGTGAACTGCCGGCGAGGCCGGGCCCGCCACCTTTCTGTTCCCATTTGTGGATATGCTCTTTCCCATGGTTTCGATGCGTCTGCATGTGTGTCATGGTGTGTCAGCGTGATTCTCTCTGTTTGAGGGTCTCTTTCCTGCGTCTTCCGCGTCTTGCAGAGAGCATCCGTCCTACAGAGCGGACCGAGGTGGTCATCTTCGCCGAATCGTGCGTCGGGCAACGGTGGTGTCGCTGCTGGCTCGCAGAACGGGGCTTCGACTTGAAAGACACTTCTGGAATCTGCGAGACTTGGTAGGATGATGGCTTGTTGCCGAGCACTGAGGCCCTTCAACGAAGCCGAGGCTCGAGCTTTTGGCCTTGCAAGGAAGCGAAGCGGCGACGCAAATCGTTGAGAGAGCTTTTTTCTTCGGCAGGCGAAGGAGAAGGAGGCCGAGAAGCCGAGGGAACCGGAGAAGAAGGAGAAGCCGAAGCTGTCGCTGACATGGGACAATGTCCAAGAGGCCCAGTCACGGCTTTGGTTTGGAACGTTTTGCGATTATGATTTCTGCTCTGTCTCGAATGACGTATCCGTATCATAACTGCGGAGCCCATTGCTTTTCGAGCAATGTCCGGGGGTCGGTGGGGGATGATTGGGTGGGCAATGGTTCCTCTCCATGCTCCCACTTGGCAGTTTCTTTGCGAATAATGCGAGACCCCGTCCTGGCTCTTGTGAAGGTGTTGGACGAGCTTCGTCCTTACCTCAAGAGCGATGGCGGAGATTGCAAGATCTCCGACATCCAGGACTCGGTGGTGAAGCTGGAGCTGATTGGGGCATGCAGCAGCTGTTCGGCATCTTCCGTGACAATGAAGATGGGAATAGAGACTCCTGACCGCAATGGAGCTTCAGTTGTCCGTCCGTCGCTATGCCGCGCCGTTGGTCACCAAGGAAGACGCTTAAGGAGCGCATCCCTGAGATTTCAGAGGTTGTCGCCATAGACCAAGAGCAGGAGCCCCTCACCGAGTCTGGGATTGAGGAGGCAGCGTCAGAGTATGCCCCTGCAGCCTTGGAGCCTCGGGGTATCTGTATTGATATCTTGCTGTGATTCTGTCCAGGTCTTGAACGGCATCCGGCCTTTCCTGAGCGTCAGTGGTGGATCCATCGAAATTTTCGAGCTCGTGGACGGCGAGGATGCCAAGGTTGTCTTGAAGATGGTCGGCCCGCCCTTGAAGAGCATGGCAGCTCCTTGCTGACTCACAGGAGCCTTTGAATTTGAAGGCCTAGTTACTTCGCATTCGTGGCAGGTCGGCACGGGAGGGGGGCAACTGAGGTCCGAGTCGAAGTCCAGAACAGAATCAAGCGCAAGTACCCCGCTGTCCAAAATGTTGGCATCGTGGGGGAGGATGGTCAGCCGCCGCAGTCCGCGTGAGGTGAGCAGACGTGGTCTATGAGATGGTCCATTCTATCATATCTTATATCAGCTTTTTCTAAACTGGTACTACCTTTTTCTGTTTGTGTCCTGGCACTCTGATGCAGCAAGCAGTTCTACAGCACGAGTTGTCTTGCGTTCTGGAAGCGTTCTTGGATGTTTGTAGACCGCGCAGTTAGCAATGCAACGTGCTCATGCCTTGCCGCGTCTCACCCGCACTCGTCAGACCATGGAGGGATGTAGAATTGTGCCAAACAAGACGGAAATGATTAGCAATTAGGCTGCCTTTCGGAAGTTCAAAAATGCTGTAGCTGGTGCAGCGATCTGGGTGAGGATGCAGATGAAGATGATGAAGCTGACGGCGGCGCCACGACGGGACGGGGCCGCCGCGATGGGCGGGACGCCGGCGAGCACAGGACACGGAGGCACAGGACCACAGCGAGAAGTCAAGACCAGAACAGGCCGGGATCGGCCAGCACGGGCCGCGACGACCGCATTGACGACGACGGCCACGACCCCGACGACAAAGCCGACGACACCGATGGCCGACGACGGCCGACGACCGACGACAGACGATGACGCCGCGAGACGACAACAACGACTGCGATGATGAATTTTTCTGACGAGCAGAGGAATAATGCCATGTGCAACATTGGTGTTTTTGCTTGGACCGCTTGAGTGGTAGTGAAGGGCTTACAATGAGTCGACTCGTGCTGCTGGCAGCATGTATCCGCATTTATTTGGTCCACTTGTTCGTATGGTTGAAGTTAGTGCAAGAAGGGTCGTCATGCTGCCAGTGCTCATGTTCCCAGTCTTCTTCGTGTCGTCACACTTATCACGGGCTAGTCTTCGCAGTATCGCGAGTGTCCGTTTTTTGTCTTATTCACCACGGTTCTTGATGCGCCGCATCAAGACGGTGATGTCCTGGATGTTTTCTGGGCATACTGAGAAGCCTGACTATTGCTGTTGCTTCTGCTGTCGTTCTGTTGCTCGTCCTCCTCCTCCGGCTGAATGAACGAATGATGCAGCGCCAGCTGCAGCGGCAAGCTGCTAACATGTCGAAGCTCTTGGCCCTTTCTTCGATCAAGACCTAACACTTATCATCTTTGTAGGCCCATGGCAACAAATACGAGTCCGTCTGCTAGCATACAGGTCTAACGAACAACCTCTAGAGACTCCGCCTGGCGGTGTACAGATTACACTGCGGCAAGGAGCTTTTTCCTGAAGTGTGTGCTATACCCACGGCGCTTAGCTGGAGAGCGGAAAATGAAGGCAGGGGTGCGTCGGTCACTGAGCAGTTGAGCGGACTGGGGGATTTCACTCGTGGCGGCTGCTGGCATTCTGCAGATCGTAGGTATGGCCACATGTCCTTGTCCTGTGAGTGTCACAAGTCTTCCTATGGCTCGAGATCCTTCACCTCCGCGTTGAAAAGTCGCAGTCGGCTGCCTCGAGTGCCAAATTGGGAGGTTACCGAACAGGAGGCTGTATATAACGATGTGGACCATACAACCTCAACAGGAGGCTAAGACGTAGCATTGGCCGCCCGTTCTTGACAAGGTTATACAAAAGGCCCATAGCTTGAAGCAGGACAGGCCCCTTTGCAGTCTTCACGACCTCTCCCATGATTCCCAGCCGGAGTTGGCGGAAGTTCGGTGCGGCTGTGGAGGCAGACTGCGACTTCGGGAGAACGCTTTCATGATCCTCACCGGGTCGGAGACCGTCTCGTCTATTGGCGGCGGTCGAGAAGGACGTGATGGCGTAACTGCGACTTCGACATCATGCAGTGCCCCATGTACGCGACGAGCTCTGCTTCCTACATCGTCCGAGCAATCCGCCGGATTGGCTGAAGACGGCAGTGTTGAAACATCCTTAGCAGCAGGTGTGCACCAAGGGCACCGGGGCGAGCGCTTCTTGAGACTGTGCCAGCAGGAGACGTCATGCCAGTTGTGCCCGGCAAAAGGAGAGTGCCTTTATTGACTTAATTAGTTGTGCTGCAAGACTCTGTGCACGTGATCGTCTGGTTTCTAGTTGCAGTGCCGGCAGTCATTCCAGAGAGCGCCTCACAAGTTCGGTTCAGGTGGCGTTTTTTTGGGGTGGCTCAACAATGGCGAATAATGGCGACGTCGTATCTGCAAAATCAAGGTCGCAGCAAACTGTTGAGTGCAACAATTCGCAGGCATGTCTGCCATGTGCCTGCTTTACACGTGTAGGCGATGGCATCTGCCCGCCTGATGACTTGCTAATGGACCCCACGCGGGTGGAGATGTAACTTTGCGCGATGCACATGCCAGTCATGCCATTACGAGGAAGGTAGCGAGTTGAAACTTGAAACTAGGAAGGCTTGTGAAGTGGAGCCAGCCTCCTCCGTACAAGAACAAGGAAGTGCGGAATGTTGGCGTCGGGTGGTGGTGATGTTGCTGAAGGTGGTGGGTGCTGGCGGTGGGCATCGCTGTCGTCGTAGTAGCGGTGATGCCACTGTCTCTCGGCGCGTTTCTGCTTTGTTGGTTGCGGATCGCGATTAAAAATCATTGATCTGCCCCTTGCCCTGACGTCGCAACAATATTAGCATTCGGCTCATAATTGCCTTCACACTGTAGCCAGCGAGTCTAAAGATGCGCACGCGGTGCTGCCGCCTTCTAAAATGACCTCCAGCTGAGTCAAAGCAAGATAGGCACACCTGGAACAAAGTAGCGGGTTTCACTGAGTGTGAAAGTGTGCATGTCGTCGAAGCTCATGCGGATCATGCTGCATTATGAGCCTATAGATGGACCGATGAGCATCGCTGACCATGATGCCCGCAGGTGGGAGCAGTCACTGAGAATTGAAGCGGAAATCTTGTCTGAGTCATGCAGGTCCACAATCTGCACATGGAGACTGTGAGTAGCAGGCTTGCAAAAAGTCTGTGGACGCATGCATTCGTCGCTCGCTCTTGCGCAGGTCTCCCTTGGCCCTCTGTGCAGTTTGCAACAAAGAGTTGCCGAAGTATCGCTCGGGGCCTGTCACGACATTTAGGTGATCAGCAAAGGCCAGTACAGAAGTCCGAACTTCAGCGCCGATGAAGCCAGAAGCTACAGTAGCCCAAAATCGGAAGCATGCAAATTCATCTGCGTTGCATACCTGAGTCAAGTCTTCGCATTGTGCTTAGTATGAGTCAGTTGGTTGGTTGCCTGTTTAGACCTTGAGTTGACATACTGAACTGTAGACAAAGCTCACAGACGCAGATTTCAAAGACCTGGCAGGATAGAGGTAGCCAGCAGCCAACTCAAATTCCCGTGGGCAACTGCACGGTGCTATGTCCAAAAGTTCTGAAAGAGGGGGGAAAGTGCGAGCGAGAGAGAGAGAGAGAGAGAACACATGCTGAGTGGATAAATAACATTTTTCTTTGAATGCGGGGATCGTGACTCCACGATACTATGAGCCTCCGCTTTTCCCCGAGTTGTCTCACGCCGACGGAAGACTTAGACATCAGAGTAGCTTGAGCCCACACACTTTGCAAGCAAGCAAGAGAGTTGCCTCCCACGAAGAGGACTTCCAACCAGGTCACGAAATCTGTTCTGGTGCAGCCTTTCGTCGTTCTCCGCCTTTATGTCGACTCCTTGCCTTGATGGGGAGTACTGAAGGACCTTTCCGCCCCACAACAGTCGGGGGCGTTGACACACGCAGTCAAATCCCTTCACCCTAGCCCTAGCGAAAGAAAGAGAGGCAACTACTCCCCACCACACCTGGCGAAAGACAGAGAGAGAGAGAGAGAGAGAGCGATTCTAGCGCTCGGGTAAGGGGAGCAATCCTCTTGCCCCTAACCCTGGCGAAAGAAAGAGAGCGATTCTACAGTGCACAGGTGAATGGTACCCCACATGCCCCACCATAGCATCGTACATGGAGTCTTTTCGGCAGGTCCGAGAATCATACAGGCTTCGATTCGTTTGAGGCTGCCCGGCCTGCGACATCCGGAGCTGCTCAGCCGACTGTGTCAAGGTGCGATGCGGCCGAGACAGACACTTGTAGCATCTAGTCGCAGTTTAGTGTTGGTTGAAAAAGCCTTCTCAAGCAGGGGCACAGCGCGTTGAGGAGACCCTTTGTTCAAGTCTGTGCTGCAGGAGCACAAGGTGCAGACGGGCTGCACAGGGAAACGAGCTCGCACTAAGCACGTGGCGCCACTCAACTCCTTCACGGACGATGTCCCTTGGCTTCACTTCTACGTCTGGAGAAGATCTGCCAGGAGCTCGTCGGTTTTCGGGTTACACACGAGTGCCAGGTCCTCCTTCGGGACTTCGGGCTCTTGGAGGAGGTGGATGCAGCAGTCGATCGGGCAAATCGGGACCTCAGGATCCGTGACGAGGACCGCAGAGTGAGCTTGGCTCTCCCTGGCTTTGCAAGACCGGCTCCGTCTGTGTCTTTCGGTCTCTCGCTGTGTCTCCGAGGTGTTTGAAGATCCCTAGATTCCTGCATACAGTCCGACAGAGACATGCCATTGACTCGACTTGACTTCACGTCTCAGCCCGGAGGAGTTACGACTCTACCAGCCCAAGCCGCATGCTCAAGACCCATGGGCGCGGATGGGTGTGTGTCTGAAATCGCCTCTGTACACAGAGCTGTAGATATCAAAACAGACCAAAGGGTTGTGCGCTTCCTTAACTGCGGCGGAGCTGGCAGGTACCAGCTCCGCAGCAGCTGCATCATACCGGATTGCGCACTTATCGCTGTGTAAAGATCTACGAGCCCGCAGCACGTACTACGATGGGTGTAACATGCCCAGAAAGCGTCAAACCTTCCAAGCTTGCACTGAGGTAGTTGGAAAGATATATCTGCCTCTGATACGAGAGGGTGGGTTGTACTGACGTATCCTGATTGTCATAGTATGCTTGAAGAATGTACTTCCAAGACATCTGCTACGTGCTTGTTGTTGATCTGCGGGGCTCTTTGACTTTCTGCTAGATTTAGGGACTTGCGGTGGTTGGTAATTTGCCGAAGCGTGTACTTTATTGATTTGTTTCCGGTATTTCCTTGAGCCTTCAAGTGCCCATAGCCGCGAAGCGCTGGTGAATTTCATAGTCTTCAAGAATCAACACGAGCCGTGCATGAACATTTACATTGCCTTGTGCGGCATGCAACCTTGTAGCCGCCGTCGTGAAGACTTCGTGTCCGCTGTGCATGGTCGAGGCGCCACAAAATGCGAATCGAGCTGGCGAGGGCGTGCGCTGTGCCAGAGAGGCAGATGAGGTGCGGTTTTCCGTGTCGTCGATAGCGAGGTTGTGTTGCTCGGGAGCGAAGTTCTATTGCAAAGCGCCTTGGGAGGTTAATCCTGGCTCCCTTCGCGATGTCCCTTGCTCGGGAGAACACGTCGCGCGTCGTGGACCCCGGCGGCAAGGGCAAGCGGAAAGGCCGGAGGGGGACTTGCTAAGCTGCTCTATTTGTGAACGATGCCATGTTGCATGAGCCATCAGGCAAAGGCAAAGGGAAAGGAAAGAAAGGCTGGAAGTTTTCAGACGGTTCTGAGTTCTGTCGACCTGCACAAAGGCTTCCAGAGCCTGCGCAGGCTCCAAGAGCACGGCCTCCGAGTCAAAGCCGGTCTACATCTCTTGGCGAGTTGACTGGCATTTTGGCGCTTGTGGGCAAGTGCTCACGGCCTCCTGCCCTCTCAAAGCGATAGAACTCAAAGTAGTTTCGTGTTGTCCTCTTGGGACACTTTGATAAATTCTGAGATGGTGCGGCATCTCCAAGGACCGAAGCACAGCAGAGCACGAGGTGGTAGGCCAAGTGCTGGCAGTCGGCTCAGACACCAATCGGATGGACTTCGGGCTTCACCAAATATCACCAAATTCGCACTCCTGCCAGGAGCGGTTCCTCAAGAACTCCTGGTCACGGGGGCCTACGCGGCATCTTCTCCTTCCGTCCGGCGGCATGGAGAATGCAGAGAGTGAAGGAGTTGCTACGGGAAGCTCAGGTATGCCGAGCAAGGTGTGGATGAGCTGCAGGCAGCATGCCCCAACGCCCAATCTTGGCTGCGCCGGGCATTGCGCGGAGGTCTTTCTGCAGCAGCCCCTTCGCGCCAGAGCTGAGCGCAATAGTCCTTTGGCCTTAAACTGAAGGGGCTTGCATCTGTTAACGACTCTTGAAGACGGTATTGTGGTGGACCTTGCCAGGCTTGTCCGAGTGTGAGTGTCAAAAAAACTGAAGGGGCTGCGCATTCGATGTTGGGAGTTCATCCTGCAGGCTGGAGATCCAGACGCGAGATGTTGCTCGAGGAGGCGGAGGAGGAGATGCAAAGTGAAGAAGATCCACCCGCAAAGAGGCAAGGGGTGACGACTTCGCAGCTCTGCATCTTCATGACACGGATGGTCGAAGGCAGAATCCTGAGTCGAGCTAGGGGCCCAGTATGCTGAGCGATTTTGGCAGCTTGGGGGTTGGAATGAGTCGGAATGAGGCCCCCGTTTCCCTCCTCCGCCTCCTCCGCCACCTCCGCCGCCTCCGAAGCCTGGACTTCCCAGCGAGGCTCGAAGCCTTGTGTTTAGGGTCAATCTTGCTCTGAGTCGTCTCTTAAGCCTTCCTACACGTGCTTTCTGCCTGTAGATTCTGTAGATGTCTGTAGAGTACTGTCGTCGTTGCAGTTGTATTCCGTACTGGTCGACTTTGCATTCGCAGGGGCATTAGCCGCCACTGCTGGAGTGAATATTGGTATCCGTGCCAATGGTGGGTGTGGTGGTAGTGGTGGCGTAGCAGCATAGCAGAGCACAACTCAGCACAACTACTGCGGAACTGGCTAACCTACCTCGCATGCTCATGTGTCAGGAATCTGTTTATGACTTCAATATGTCATGTTTGCACTTTCGCTGTCTGTGTGTGTGTGCGCTTAATTATGCAGAATTATGTGTAACCGCATAGGTATCAATACTTGAGCGTGCTTGCCTCAGCAGAGTAATCTGTCTGTGTCCTACATGCACAGTGAAATGCATAGGTCTCTCGTTGAATGTGGTGTGTACATAAGCATGCTGGCAGGAGTCGTATATATATATATATATATATCTTTATGTACATATATACACAGAGATAGAGGGTGTGTGTGTGTGCGCGTGTCTGCAATTCCTTTGGCTGTGTGGAAGTAGGGGGAGAGAGAGGGAGAGGTTCTTCGGGCCACTACTCTAGTCGTAACTAGTGTCTAACTTGTTTGCCGGTCTGAAGCCTTTCTGACCGTTGCTGCAAAGAACGGGGCCCTCGCTCGAAGGCTTCAGGGTTGAGTGGAAGGTCGCAGGTCTCGGGGGGATAAGGCTTTTTTTCGGGATAAGGCAGGGTTACGGCAGGCCAGGGGGTACCAGTAGCAAGATGTTCCGTAGAAGGATGGAGCACCAAGAAAGCCGTGTTGGAGGGATCCCGAATTGCCTTGTTCGTTAGTTGTCTTGAAGTGACAAGTTCAGATACTCGGGGCACAAGCCCAAGAGATGGAGGCACCTCATGGAGAGCATAAACCTGCCTCCACGTGGCACCTCTCGCCTTTCACCGCGGCCTAACCAAAGGTCAACCGTACAGCCGAGCCCTTTCTGCCCGAGAGGGTGGATGGGGACGCGCCCCCGGCGCGGGTCAGAGGGACTGCCTCTGACTGAAAACCCCGATAGCAAAGCAAAGCAAAGGTTCTTCGGGCCCCCCCACCCCTGGACCCCTAGCCAGCCAGCAAGCAACAGAGAGATGGATGAAGACTTTGGATAGGCAGATCCCCGTGCCTGCCTCTCTCTTTCTCATTGAAAGAAGTGTGCGCGATTCGGAGACCGAGCGAGGAGTCGGCGAGCGAGGAGTCGGAGAGCGAGGCAGCCGAGTCCAAGGCGGAAGACTCCGAGGCAGAGGACCACTTCGAACCCTTCGCCAGGTCGGGCAAAGAGCCGGGGGGCGGGCTAAGGCGAGTTGTGGCAGTTCTTGGTTTGTTGGCGTGGAAGCTGTTTGTGTATACATGATGCCCTGTCTCCTCGTATACACTAGTATAAATGTATGAAGGGGACACAGACACCGCATATTTCATGCGAATTTGTTTCAGCCACGCCGAATGACAGGCTCGACTTGTCGCGCACGCTGAGGGAGAACCTGATGGACAAAGCAATCGTTGAATATCCGGTTCTTCACGTGGCTCTTCCTCAGGACCGAGTGTCACAGAGCCTGGTCATTGGCAAAGTTTTTTCTCATGCTCAGCTGTTCGTCAGGAGGTCCAGCGCTTTCTGGCAGAGTGAACCCCACGAGCAAAAAGAGGTCTGGGCAATTGCTGCTATTTGTGCTGATGCTTTCATTGCTTGTAGAGCTGTTAGGAAGATGAATGGCGTAGTGCCGGGGTTTTAATGACAGTGACATATAGTGACGACAGTGACTTTGATGATAGGTTGCCTGTTGCACGACCTTGTCATTCGTTCAAGCACAAGTAGCTCTGAAGGATTGTCCACGAAACACTCTTCGTTCTTGCTAACCTCGCGAGCATGTCAGAGTGCGAGAAAACAAAGAGTCTTCAAGGCTTTTTGCTGGGCTTCATCCTTGAATGCGCAGAGATGGACGGAGGTTGAAGCGGTTCAAGCCCAAAACTGCAGACTCCATTGATGGGACGGCATCACGACGGTTCTAGAAGGTGTCAAAGGCTCTAGACTACGGCCCGACGTGCTTGGCCTGAAGTTCAGTCCTTAAGCCGGGGAAATTCACAACGTGATACCGAAGCTTCGAAACTGGTGTCTGAACCCGAAACCCTCAGACACCCCGAAGCTCAACCCCATGGTTCGAGAGCATTAGAGACGCTTTCATGTTGCCGCCCCTGCCGCGTGCGCCCTCAGCACCGCCGCCTCGACGAAGGGCAAAGGCGGCGGGGGGCAAAAGACTATGATCTTGTCCGGCTGCGGCTTTGTGATGAAACGGTCGAAGTTCTGGATTAGTCCGAGCGATGCTTTTGCGAAGTGATGAAGACTAGACATTTGAAGATGCACGCTTCGATTCTCGCAGTGTGCCGGTTGTACCAATATCGAGTGCTTCGTGCTTTCAGGCTCCCCCTGCGAGAGCACAGAGCCAGGCCCTCAGATTTCCTTGGAGCTGCGCGGCGGTTTGAGCCTTCTTCCTTTTGAGGCTTCGACGCAAGACACAGGCCGTCTCAAGGAGCTCTTGGGGTTTAGGGTTTGGGGGCCTCCGGCTCTTCCAGGCTTCCGGATGTTCCTCGCGCGCCCGACGAGCCGGCAGCGCCTGCTGCAGGCGCCGGGACCGAGAGGGCACGGACCACGGAGAGGGACTGCGCAGGGGTCCAGCCTTCTCCAAACAGGAAACCCTTCTGTGCGCCAGGAGCTCCCGCCCAAACCGCTCGAGCCGAATCCAGGCAGCTACAGACGATGCTGCCTCGTTTGACCCAACACAAGTGCTCAATCTCTGCCTAGTGTGCAGGTCCGCCGGCGGAACCAAGCTGCGGCCTCATCCCGTCATTCAGGTCATGGGCTACAGCTGGACGGTTCGGAAACTCATGAGGGGACCTGGCAGGTAGCTTCCGTGACAGATGCGGACCTGCAGAAAGCTTTGGAAGCACGACCCACGCCCGCCGTGCGAGACTCAGTTTCCGATGCAGATGCGATTGCACAAGATTATGCCAACCGTTTGCCACAAGACTGGATGCACATGAGCACACGTGATATGTCGTGATGCCTGCGTCGCAGGGCCAGTCGGGGAATGCCGGACCAGCACATAATCCAGAACGTGGAGATAGGTGGTATTCACGTAACAACGGACGTGCCTGCTGCAGCCAAACGGCGTTGCCTCTAATCATGGGGAAGGCTTTTTCACAGAATCGCGCCGCAGGCGCCCGCAGGCCGCCTCCAACCATAAACGGGGAGTTTATTCGCCTCAGGGCAACATCAGGCATGCAACCACTCTGCTTGCATGGAGAACGGTAGCAAAGTTAAACCTGTTCTGCGTGGCGTGCAGAACGGAATCCGATTGAAGCTCCATAACCTTGGGCATTTGTGCGGCATTAGAGTCTTCTCAGCCACCCATGATTTCCGAAATCATGGCATGCCCCGGCTTTTCAGGCAGGTGCCTCAATCTTAAGAGATCTTTCGAACCGACGACCATCTCCAGGATCCAGAGGACAAGAACACAGCACGTGATGGCAACGAAATTCCCGAAGTGATCCCTTGCTGGTCTTCGCTGTTTCGAGAGCTCAGGCCGATCAAGCGCCGGGTCAGGCCCAGGGCACCAGAGTTCAGTTCCAGCTCGCTTCTGTTGAGTCCGGTCAGGAGGATGCAGAAGAGCTGCTCGTGATCCTGGATGTGTTTACTGGGGCCCAAACCCTTCAGGACTGCTCCCGCATCTTGCCAGAGGGTCGGTCTGGGTTGGGTCTTGACGAGGGGCCGTGACGTAAATCCACGCAAGAACGTGGCATTCGTTGTTTGTGATCGAGCTTGGAAGCCTCAGTTGTCCCGTTTTCCCGAAACCCCAAAGCCCCTCGAAGCCAGGTTTGCAGACATGACCACAGCCGGTGCAGTCAAAAACTTGTATCTGTGTCCAAGTTCCCGCAAAAACTGCGGCAATTGCCGACATGGTCGCTTGTTCATGGGTGGATATCTCGTTGAACATGTTGGTCTGAGGCCTTCGTGCGAGTCACTTGCTTCATGTTTGTGGCTTCTTCTTGCCATCACGGCCACCACAGATCACCACCAGCAGCGGGAGGCGTGGCAGGAGTGGGAGGAGCGGGCTTGGTGTTGCCTGAAGGAAACTGCCCTGGAGCCTGTGCTTCCTTTTAGGGTTGCAGGAGGTGCAAAGCGATGCCAAACGTTTTGTGACAGACAGTCGTGCGGGGATTCCGTCCAAAACGACAACTATTCTGTTCTGCACGCTTGAGCGGCGCAGTGAGCCGGTGCCAAGGGAGGGACACAGCCACACATCGCCTCGGAGGCAGCCAGAGGGGAGATTGAGGCTTCTTGTGTCGCTGCCTGCCCTAATTAACTAGTGGCAGTGTCCGTTTCCACGGGTCGTTGGCATGCTGGACGTTTGTCAACAAGCTATCCAAGCTGAAAACAACAAGTTTGAATGGGTGGCAAGTCCATTGCCTGCACAAGTTTTCAGAGTGCAAAGGTCCGACAGCCAAATCACGGCCAGGACATCATGACGTCGCACACATTGCAGATGTGTGAGCACACCACCGTAGGCCGTGCGTCTTGATTTTGTCTCTACTGCATGCAGTACGACGACTGGTCTCCTGTGCGTCGGAGGCAGCGCTTGGAATGAGGCCGCAAGACTTCCGAGCAAAGGCCGGGGGATCCTGGCCGATTGTGTTTCGTATTTGCCCCTTCGTGTCGACAGGGGCGCCCAGCAAGGCATCCTCGGGGCGCCAACCTGAGGCCAGAGACTGCTGCGTCCCACTCCCACAGTGAGGTTCCTTGCATCTCTGCGAGGTGAAGGGCAGCAAGAACCCACCGAAGCGGATGGATTCACAGCGACTAGAGCGAGCAGACAGCAAGAACTCTACAGACGGCGAGAGCAGCTGGATGTCCCTGCCCTGCTGGCCCGTCCCTTTGGGCAGGACCTTGCCGGGAAAATGTAGCAGTGCATGATGAATCATGATGACATAGGATGACATGTTGCAGTGGTCAGGACTCGCATTAACGGATCTGGCGGGTGCCTCGCAGCATCGGTTCCGGCAAGTTCGCCGGGCACTGCCGTGATCTTCCGACTCGCATACAAACAGCCGGATTGGGTGAAGTGGGGCCTTGCTGTGCGGAAGGATCCCGGCACCTGGCTGGGGCAAGCGACGCTGCCACTTCTCCTAAGCCTGGAGCCGCCCAGGCTGCGTTGCCTCGCGAGGGCGAGTCCCGAGTTGGGCCAGGAGGTGGTCCTGGAGTGGGCGCTTCCTGAGAGCCTGGGCCCGCTGGGCCTGAAAGGCGACCTGCTTTGGTCTTGGCAGTATCGTTGGCGCCTCGAGGAGTTGAAGCCGAGGGAGAAAGACAAGGAGTGGACTCAGTGGACTTTGGGACCCGAGTTGGCGATGAGAGAGATTTCGGGCCCGGGCGGCTCTCAGAGCTTCGAGTCTGGCCCGCTCAGAGGGCCATGGCGGAGCCTTTCGGGCTCGCGCCGCTTGGAGATGTCTGTGAGGTATTCCTACCGAGAGGGCTTGGCATCTGCGGAGTGGAGTGACTGGGGCAGTGGTGCTGTCATCTTGGGCTTGCCTACACCCATTGCCAGTGAGGAACTAGAGGTGGAAGTGAGTGACTACGACCCTTGCGAAGCGACAGTTCGCTGGAAAGCTTTCGAGATTCCAGGATTCCTCAACAGTGAGGTGGATTACCGCATCCTTCTCAGATCTTGGCCGGAATCATTTTGCAAGGGGGGAAGCCGATGCACAAAGTGGGTCCCCCTGGAGACCGACGACGATGCCAACCCCCGCAACCGAGTTTGCCTCCTGACGGGGCTCCAGCAACTGGGCTTCAACTGCCAAACAGAGTTTATTTTGCTGAGCCCCTCCCGACAGCACCTGCAACCCAGCCCCTGCCAGGCCCTGCTGCGAGTATGAAATTCGTGTGGAGGGCCGCCACCGCGCGGTTTTGGGTGATGGGACCGATGGGAGCTGGTGCCATCTCCAGCGATCTTTCTGTCTGCCGCGGAGTCGCAGGGTGGATTATTTGGGCAGTCAGAAGGTGACGAAAGATGGATTTGGCCGGCATCCTTCCTGGACCGCACCCTGCTTCACCAGAGAACAGAACGAGAACATCGACCAGGCTGTTGACGACCCACCCATCATGACGATTTTTGTTAGGTACCACTCTTGGGTTCTTGCGTTGAATGTAAAAGGTTGCTGTTCCAGCCAGGGGAGCCGGGCAGCAGACTTCGAATTCAGTTCGCAATCCTTGAACAGTCTCCCTGCGCCCTTGCCAGACTCGAGGAGACATGCAAGATCGAGTTAATGTAAACCCGACTAATTACTTCAATGCTAATGCTCCTGCCACAGCGTGCGCACAGCACAGTACCGTGCTGCTTTAGCGCTCAAATCGCTGCAATCGCAATCGCGCCACAGGACCGCGCGAATTTTGGGGTGCCACTCGCCGACCATACTCTCGTGCCGCCCCGATGGGCCTCCTTCAACAGCGCCGTGCATTCGTACACCTCTTGGGGTGTGACTTGTGTTTCCCCCTTGCGGAGTCGTTCTCCCACCACGGTGTGGTGCGTATTTCGGACTTATGCATGGGTCTTGTCGTGGGACCCTTCTACGACGCTGGCATCATTAGGGCTGTTACGGCAGTCTTTGAATTGTCACATCTGCTCTGCCAGGTAACCTGCTTGAAGCCCCTTGCGGCACTTGCCGTTGCCGGGGCTGCCGAAGCGGCTTCTGAAGTCGACTCCCAGTGCGCTTTGCAGCGGGCCTCAGCGTCTTCGGCCAGGGGCCTGGGGCCCAGCCCGAAACGAATGGAGGGATTCAGTGGCTCTTCTGCAACATTTCTGGTTTCGAGTTGATGGCACTCTCCAACTCTTGGCAAAGGTGGGCACCTGGAATGGCAGCGACTACCCCGTGAGCAGGAGAAGGGGGCGCTGGCATTGGACCTGCGCAGGCTGACTGTGCTCCGCAGGGTGCTACCGCACATGTCGATACGATTTGCTTCAGCTACTTATGGCGCTGCCTTGCCCTTGCCGCTCGACCCCGTAGCCCAAAAGAGCAGTTTTCGGAACCCCGGCCATCCGTTGTTGCGTGCTGAAGATCCGCGAGAGTGAGGGGGACACTGATGGACACTGAAGAGGGTTGGGCACGTCGGCACCAAGGCTATTGATCTCTTGAACGACTGCAAGCACGATCAGACTTTTTTAGCCCCTTTTGATGGACCCAGCATGCAGGATAATTACAAGAAAACATGTTGTCCCCCCATTGGAGCAGTTGTTGGGTACTGGTGAGTTAAACCGACGGGCCAGGTTGGGGCCTGGAGCCTGTTATCTGCGCTGGGCCGCGGCAGAACCCGGCGAGATGCTTCCACTGCAAGCGCCGGCTGAGGCTGCTGCCTATAGGGCCTGGGGATGCAGGGGGCCAAGGGGATGGGATAAGATCGGACCAGTGGCTCCAGGCACCGTCTTTGATGGCCGATGTCTTCTTCCGCCACGGTGCACCAGCGCTCCAGCTGCGCTTTCGATCCGCCTGCCACGAGGCGCCCCTGCTTGAACCGAACTTGAAAGAGCATATGTGCACGGCAGTGTACGATCGTGCCGGAGGCCTTGTCTCGCTTCCAGTTGTGCTTCGAGGCAATCTGACGAATTCAACGAGCCGTAGATGGTTTTGCGAGCGAGACCTTTGTTGCCCAGGGGGCCAATGAGGAGCGGATGATATTGCCGGCACGTTCTCTGGATCACCCCTTCACTCGCAGGCCTGCGTTGACAGCCCCAGACCGTGAACTCACGAGCAAAACTGCTGTGCTTGTCGCCTTCTGAAACCTTCCTCTCTCTTTCTGTCTCTCTCCCGTTAAGCCAGGGACGAGGAGATCAAAGTGTTCCTGGGCCCGGCTATCTTGGCTCCAGGCCGGATCGCAGAACGGCTCTCTCGCGATCGCGTCGCGGTTCTCAACCTCTGGGAGGCCGCTACCGCGTCCGCCTCCGTGCAGCCGCGGCCCTTTCCCCGGCGCTGGTGTGGTCGCCATGGACCGAGGCCGCGGACTCCGTAGACTCGTAGAGTCGCAGACGAGACGTGGTCTGCCTGTCTATTCCCCGACAGAGGCTGTGGATGCTCTCCTCGAGCGGCCGCCACCGCGGCCGAGGGTTGGCGACGAGCTGCGCGTGCGAGAGGGCGGCTGGGCGAAGATGGCCTTTCACTGGGGATACCTCAAGGAACAGCTTGTTTGCAGGTGTTGCCGTGGCAGCTCGCCCATGCTTCGGGGAGATGTTTGCAGCATTGAGCACTTGCTGTGTGCAGCTATCTTGGGACAGCTTCACATCGCCGAGCACCTTGGAATGACATATTTTTTGAATTCGATCCATTTACACGCTGTGTGTTGGAACAAGGTCTGACAGGCTACCAAGTGGCAGTGTCCTTGGAGTCAGCTCGACCGGCAGATGATGAGGCATGTTGTTGCGTGCACGTTTGTGAAGGAAGGTTTCACGAACCCATGAGTCACTGTCATCGGCAGATGCCTTCAGAGAAAGAGGCGGTGTCTTCCACGGGACCGAAGTAGTGACTGACTTAGACGGAGCCATGGGAACCAGTGAATGCACATCATTCAACAACCCAGCAACTCCACGTGTGAGAGTGCTCGTCCGGAGTCCGGAGGTCTTCACGCCAGCACCGGCGGGAGCCCTTGCCCTGCGCTGCGCCGCGTTGCTGCGGCGCCTGGCGCCGGAGACGGAGCCCCCTTTGCTGAAGTTACTCCTTTGGTCAGTGACAGGACAGAGTTTGCCAGAATGGTTCAGAATGGTGATGGAGACTTGCATTCCACTCTAGCAAAAGCATCCTAGGTACCACTTCGCCGTCTCAGCTGCAAACGGCGATGCAAAAGCCAGGCTTGAAACCGTTTTCTGCACAGGAGACGGGTTCGGGGGATGAGGGACCTCGCTTGGGGATTCTGCGGGGGCAGCTCCCGCAGGACCCTGCAGGCATGCCATCTTGGCACCGCTGATGGCACCAGCCCTGTCGAAAGATCCTCAGTGTCTGGGCTCAGATGTTCAACATTTTAACTTTCTTGCCATTCTTTCAGCCCAGCAGCCATTCGTAGAAAGCCCAGGGAGGCTCTCGAGACGCTCACGCTGTCGCTGGACCCCCGAGTCGCATCTCGCTCCTCTCAGGCCCTTGCAGAAAAGGTGGCAGTTCGGGGAACCAACAGACCTGGATATGCCTGGATGCAGAACAAAGAAAAGCCAGGAGCTTCTGTGGAGACTGCAGTGGCGGCCGTGGTGCAGGCTAGGCCGAGAGCGAGAGAGATAGAGATAAGTTACGCAGAGTAGTCGTGAGGAGGAATGTGTCTCGCCTTAATCGCTTAAGTACGGCAGATCGGTCCTGTCCCGCAGGGTCCCGGGTCCCTCGTGCTCTCCTGACTGTGCTGAAGAGTTGCGGAGACAGGTCCGGGGCTTCGGAGCCTTGGCGTCCCGCCGCCTCCGTCCAACTCCAACAGAACACCAAGAAGGAGGCCGCGCCGCTTCGTCTTATGCGCTGCATGGTGTGCACATCAGCTTGATTGGTGCCAGGCGTCGGGAACAGAGGGAACACCGGCCGACGTGAAGGCGATAGGCCTAGGCCATCTCTTGCTTTAGCCTCTGCTCCAACAGCATCAACAGGTGCTTTGGAACTTGGGCGGGGATGCTGAAGCGAAGTGCCGGCAAGTCCAGCTGCGTCTATGTTTAGAGGACCCAGATTCAAATCCTGCGAGTTTATCGGGTAGCTCGTTTGGGTCTTTGCGGGATCCCTTGCTTCTCTGTAGGACTCTGTGGCTAAGAACTTGCTCCCGCAGAGCCTTTGGTTCTCACACGTCTCGGAGCCCATCACCACGAGCTTCGAAGCGCCGCTGCCTCCAACGCTGATTTTGGCGTATCTGTGCAACCAGCTCGTGGTGCAGGTGGAGGCAGCAAGGTGCCGGAGGAGCCCGGGAGACTGTGACCCTTGGGGTCAGGTGCAGCGGTGTCAAGTCAAATTCCGAGGACAGCTTCGCGAAGGGATCCGGATAGAAGACTGCCATGCAAAGCCGCAAAGCCTAACGGAAGGACATGTATCGGCGGCAAAGGCTTGCTTGTCCATCCCCATATCCGAGTTTCCTTCTGATGGCCTCGAATATTCGGCTGCAGTTCGGGTGGGTGATGTGAGCCTTTGGTCATGCTGGAGCGACTTCGGCGATGTTCTATGTATGATGCAGCCTGCTGTCTGGTCCTCCGATGGTGAGCTTGGGGTATCAGCACCAGTAAATCACAAGGTGACTCTTTCCTGGAGCCCTCTCTGTTGTGGCCTCGGTGCTGTCCCCATTGACTGTGTAGTGACGATCCTCAAGGATGCCGTCGTTCACGACGAGGTCCTGCTTGGAAGATGCGGCAGGACCGCGCGGCACCATGCTAGCGGCCAGAACGCCCCCATTGACCAGGGTGACCAGGATCAGTTGGAGGTAGCTGCTCATGGATTCCAGCCGGGGGTCGTCTACGAATTCCTCCTCTACGCTAAGGCCCTGCTGCCACGGCTTCAGAGCCCTCAAGATTCGTGGTCTTTGCCAGTCGCGCGGTCGAAGCCGTTCCAGTGGCCAAATGTCTCGGAAGAATGGTGCTGCCTTGTTGACTGGGCCCTCCCGCGGCCACAGCCGCTTGGCTGAAACGCGAGGGGAGCAGAGGCGGTGGGAGGGCACGGCGCGAGAAGCCGGGCAGGCTACTAGGCAGGTGCAGAACAAGCGGAAAGATAGCTCGTTTGTTCCCCGGCAGAGCTGCCTCACAAAAACGGGGAATGTGTCAAGAACTCCCAGCAAGAAGGGCAGCGAGGGATGGGTCTGTTCATGCGGGGTCTAGGCTGGCATGGCATTGACGATATTCCAGCCGTAACGGTGGGATGCCGAACACTTCCCAAGAGGTTCCAACGAGTACAGGCGGGCTACCGCCAGTCTTTGCGTCGGGCTTGTGGGGTTTAGTTGGTTGTGGATCAGGCAGATGCTTCTGCCAGATGGGGCCCTCGAGGAGTCCAGCCCGCGATGGAAGAGCCTGGGTTCTATTTCGATCTACTGGGGATGTGCGGTGAAGATGAAGTTTGTCTTACTGTTTGAGTTTCCATACCAGGGATAGGCGGTAGCCAAAATGCTTGTTTCTTCTTCTGTATGTGCTACGACAATGGAGATGCTAAATTCCTCCCTTTGAGCTGCGAGACTCGGGATGTAAAGCGAAGAGGATGCTGGAGCATGCTGCGCATGGCTTTTTGATTGCATCCGTAGCAGAAGCACAGATTCTGCGAACTTCGAGTAAGACGAGCCCCGACGAAGAGCCCAGGCGATCGGTGCTTCTCTCTTGGCCATCCATGGAGCAGCTGAGCTTGGAAGTCCGAGAGGAGAATCCACTCGTGCATCAGGCCACCGGGCTTTGGGGCTTAGGGCTTTAGCTCCTCGGGCTTCAGGGTTCGCAAGTTTGTGGTTAAGGGAGTTGGGGTCTTCTGCAGGTCTCGGGGCTGCAGGGCTACAGTAGGGGTTTGCAAGGAGGTTAAGATGGTTTAGGGTTGAGGCTGTTCCTGTTAAAATGACGAAAAGATACGAAAAGGACAGACGGCAAGAAACGCTGAGATCTGCGTGCAAGTGTGCCTGTCGCTGGCATGCAGGTCCTAGGCTGGAAGAAGGCGGCATGGGTTCGTATTCGGTTCAACGACACGGATTATGTCGCGGTCTTTGACTTGCCTTGTGACCTCGGTAACCTCGTCCGCTTTCGCTGGATGGACACAGCATGCGGATCAGTCGGGCCAAGCAGTGATATTTGCATCGCCCATCTCCCTCCGCCAAAGCTGTCGGTAGAGGCCGTCGATCGTACAGGGTCTTTGCAGGTCCGTCTGACTGCAGACACCGATACCCCGATGGCACCAGCAGCCGTATTCTTGCAGGTACGCTTCCGTACCACAAGTGGGCGACCCACACCATCAACGTGGTCACCGGGCATCCTCTTTCCCCTACCTTCGCAGCGCAAGTTTACGGTGGACATTTCTAAGACTCATGGGCTGGTGTCAGGGAAGATCTACGTTTTCTCGGCACAGCTGCTGTCAAGCACACGGCGGTCTCAGTGGTCAGCCGAGACGGTTCCTCTGAGCTTGAAGCTGCCGGCAATCACAGTGCCTGGTGGAGAGCTCACAGTGCAAGCGAAAAGCGTCACATCAGTGACCTGTTCGTGGCCAAAGCTGTCTCCGACTTCTGGCGCTTTTGAAATCGAGTTCAGGCTGGATGTCTTCAAGCAGCTGCCGGACGGCCTGCAGCATCAGACTTCGGTGTTGGTGGACTGCAAAGACGGAAAGTCAGTTTGTGAGGCGGGCATGCTGTTCATCGATTCACATATGCATGCATGTAGATTCTTCGTGTTTCGTTGTTCTTGCGTTATTGGATGTGAGATCCGGTGTATTGAGGCCACAGTGTTCAACCTGCAAGCATCCACGGAGTACGTGGCACAGCTCTCCCTGCGTCTCACCCGCAGGGGCTCACGCAGGCAGGGCCTGTGCTGAGAAAAGCTTACTGAAGGGTTCCTGTCAGAAGCGCCGTGCCCAGGTGGCAAAGCACCGGCCTCTCCACCAGTTTCATCATGCCGGACCCATCGTAAATCAGCGCACCATCTACTGTAGTTGCCTGTGCCCGGCTGTCTGTGCACTAGACACCCTTGGCCTGGAACTGGGACAGCATCTGAAATCACATGCAAGCGAGCGAGATGCGAAGCATTATAGGCTCTTCGCCACCTGGACAACGGTCTGTGGGTCTGCGAAGTAGCTGGAAGACTTTGCCGCTGAAGCAGGGACGAAGTGCCCCGGGACTTGCTCTTCAGCTTACCTTTGGCTCTGACAGGCACGAGGCAACGATAGGTCTGAGATGCCTGCCTCCACGGTGTTTGCACTTGCCTTTTTCTGCGAGCTTTACGACGAAGAGGAGGTGCTCAGTATGGAGCCAGTGGAGTCTGCGATAATCGCATGGACGCATGGCCTTACCGGGTGCAGCGCATCGGGCTGGTGTTCGGGACAAACCTCAGGTTGAGCAGCGTCATCCCTCCAGATGCGCATGACGGCCGCACCAGGCCATTTGGGAATACGATTTCCCGAACTGGTGCCGGCCCTATCGCTGGAAGTGGCACCGCTTTTGTTGCCAGATTGTCCGGCAAATCATTGACCAGAATGGGACTGAATTTTTTCTCCAAAACAGTGGGGATGCAGCGCGCTTGGATGCCAGAAAGAGTTGCAGGGTGAGGTCTCAAGGGGTGAACAGATAAACCATTGCCTTTCAGTGCAATGCATCAGTGCTCGCCACACCCGCATGGCATAGCCCTCTGACGGAAGCACTAGGATGGCTGCCTAAGGTCAGTGTTGGAAAAGTGCAGGTGGCAAATCAGGTTTTGTCAATGCTGCTTAGCTTTGAGGCACCCCAGCATGCAGAGAATGTGTAGGGTGTAGGCGTTGCATACACTCCATTTTGCAAAAGCGACCGCAGCGCTCGGCTGTTGATTCAACACCATCGACGACCTTGTCGATCTTGAGCACCGCGCATGGCATCATCTCCTGTTCAAAGCCTGAGAGCAGAGCTTGTAAGAATTGCCGGCAGTACCCGCGCGACTGTTGGAATTGCAGTGAAGACGCTGCGGAACTTAGCCCTTCCAGATCCCTTCAATGTGCCACGAGTTGATCTGGAGCTCGTGGTGCCCGAAGATTCAGCAAGAGAGCCATTCGAGCGGCGATTTCCGATGGCGTCGACGTTTAAGATACCGCTGGCCCTGTCGGTTCTTCAGATGGTAGATGCTGGTCGGTTTTCGTTGGAGCAGAAGTTTGTCCTGGATGCTTTCGATGTTCGCCCAGGCACTGGTGTGCTCACTGCAGGACTCCTTGCACAACTGAAAGACGTGCCTCGCGACCTGATCCGAACAGAGTGTTCCCTCTACGAACTGCTGGAGAAGGCGTTGAACGACTCCGACAATACAGCCACCGATGTTTTATTGGATCGTGTGGGCGGCCCATCGGTGGTGTTCGAGCATATGAAGAAGCTTGGATTAGATGAGATTCGCGTCGCCAGGAGCTGTTTGGAGCATCTACGCGACCGTTGTGGCATCCGATGTCGCATTCCGACCCGGAGGTTGCCTGAATCTGAGATGGATATGGTGGATTTCGTTGCTTTGCTGGAAGGGCGCATGGAAATTCAGCCCCTGGCGGTTTGCTGCCAGCCGGATCGTGAATTTGACGCTGACCTGCGTGATACAACCACGCCTGAAGCCATGGCCGGTCTGTTGGAGAAGATCTGGAATCGAGAAGCTGGGATATCAGATGATTCGACTCAAGTGTTGCTCGAGATAATGGGGCACTGCCGCACAGGGGCGAAGCGCATTCTTGGTCGCATGCCGCGATATGGGGCCGGCCCTCCGCGAGTGCAGCACAAGACGGGGTCTTTGGGCGGGCGCGCGAACGATGTAGGAATTGTCTGCCTTCCAAGCGGCCATGCCTTTGCGATTTGTTGCTACACAAGGGGGCTTGCCGACTTCGTAGCTCAGAGTACCACTGGTGATTTGTACGAGGATCGCGAGCGGTTGATCGCAGACGTTGCGCGTGCGTGCTACGACTTCCACTTGTTTGCGTGCAGCTGAAAGCTACCATGTCGAGCTCAAAGTCAGGCGAAACGTGTGGCTCGAATATCTCGCAATCGTCCGATCTCCTGGAGAGATATCGCTGTTTCGAGATGCTACTCAGGACGCTCCACATTCCATTGCTCTGCTGCTGCCTGGAGTCTGTCCACCAAGGAGAACTTGCAGCGCGATCAAGATATTCTTGCTGTGTTCGGTGACTTGCGTGCAGGCATCTGTCTGACAGGGACATACGAGCGGCGCATGCTCTGCCATTCTAGTACCCGCCATTCATTGTCTACCTGCAACATTCCGCAGCGCTGGGCACCGGCCACGATTCCATTATCTTGAAACTGTACATGTGTCGAGCAGAGGTCGCACTATTGTCACCACCATCGCCATTGCCAGCGTCACCACCCTCATGCGCAGCATCAGGTTTACGAATAACCCAGCACCATTATGATCAGCAGCATCATCGTCAGGCTCATCTTGTCCTTTTGTCATCAGCCTCATTTGGTTCTTGTCGTCTAGCCTTGCCCGCATCATCAGAATCATCAAAGTTATCATCAAAGGTTACCCGCAGCCAACTTACTGCTTGCAGCCATGGCATTTCATGTCTCATGTTGCAGCACAGGAGTAGCCGGAACCCTACAGCTGGCCCAAGAATCCAAGGAGGACACATGGACAGACCTGTAACCTCCGCACAAAGCATGTAGCGGCGTACTGTAGCACGGAGAAGTGACACGGGACACTGGGATGCAGAAGGGTGTAATGGTGTAAGCGACTGACGCCGTGGAAGTTCGTGATCTCACCCGCCTGCCGCCTGGGACCCCAGCGGGCTAGAGCCGCGCAGCGAGCGATGTTCGGCAACTTCGTCGAGAACCTGGGACTCAAAGAAGGTTTCGCGGAGTTCAAGGAACAGTTGAACAAGGAGCACGGAGAAGGTACTTGCAGAGTGGTGGGTTTGTAGCCCGGAGTTCAGACAGACATGCAGGATGCCAAGACCACGATTGCCAACACCCAGTTTGCCAAGGTCGGGCTTGTAAGCACGTTGACTTCTGCGGTTTTTGTGCACAGAGTTCAGGACAGGGGTATCGATGTGGCCAAGCTGGACGAGTGGGAGCAGCAGATACAAGAGCAGGCTTCTGCAGCAGTTTGACACGACTTCGCTGTCCGAGCTCAGTCAGTTCTTCTCTGGTTCTTTTCCGCGTCGGGCCCGGTTAAGCCCAGCACGAAAGGAGTCAAGGTTGCTCAAGCCAACGCAGCGCAAAAGAGGGTCATGTCAAGCATGTTCCTTTGCCGAGCAAGTGGTAGGAATCTCGCAATGGCTGGGTGCTCCAGCAGAACCTGCGATCACGATGTGCCAGCATCAACAGAGTACAAAAGCAGCCAACCAGAAGCACCAGCTGCCCGGCTTGCCCGGCCCGCGGCTCTAGCCTTCTTAATATCAACTGGGCCAGACTGATCGCAGGCCGCCAACACGACGGCAGAGCTGCATGACCGTACCATTGGCCGTGCGGCCGGGAGCTCCGACGCTTCACTCTACTGCCGGGGAATCGGGGTGTCAGAAGGCTTTCGACTTGCATGGCTCCGACAGGTGGAGAGCTTGGCACAGGACGAAACTATTGCCCAACTCCTGGAATTGCAGCCGACAGCTTACACTCCTTCGGTCTTTTGACCTGCAACATTCGAAGTGAATGGGACGACTGTTGCAGTGGCTTCGAAGAAAATTTGAGATGCAGTGTGATATCCCTTCAACCGAGGTTGTTTAGGTAGTCGGCCTCTTACCAGAAAGCTCAAGAGTTGAAAAGTTCCCGAGGTCTGAGAAAGAAGCAGTGATAGAGGCAAGTCCTGTTTCCGGTCTCCACGGCATTCCACAGCTTCCTGCTGCCGATTACGTCCAGGAGCCGTCGGAAGCTGCCGTTGCGTCTGCAGAAGGTGGCCGGGCTCCTAGGTCCTACATAGGTCCTACCCAGGGCTACCGCATGTCGGGCAGATCTGACTCAGGGCCCGCTTCGGAAGCGGAGGCGCCAACGATCGCCCAGGAGGAGCCGGCAGGAAAGGTCTTAGTTCGAGCTCCTGGGTCCTGCGAATACAGGAGGCCAAGGCCAAGCCCAGATCACATCCAGACCGAGAGGCAGAGGTGTCACTAGGTCGCCAGACGAGAGGCTCGCACAACCGCTTCCAAAATGGAGGACATCCAATCCTTGCGGAGAAGCCGCGACGAGGAGCAGTGATGACCTGCTGTCTCATTGTCATTCGAGTGCCAGCGAAGAGTCGAAGAGCCAGGCCATGGCGCAAGCCGAAGCGCTGCAGGCCAGTTCCCGGTTCTCGCTTCTGTGTACACGTCCCTGTAGGTGCAGGTGCATTGCAGTGAGGTCACTAGAAGTACTTACGGCACGCAAAATGGCACACGACTTTGTTCTGGAGGCGCGCCTGGCCGACGTCAGTGCCGTCTCGGATGAGGCTTTGGAAAAGGCCGCCCACGAGGCTACCGCGATTCGCACCGCATCCCACGTGCGTGGCTTTGAGTCGCTCAATCGATCTGGGTTCCGCCGGGCATTTCTCTTCCTTTGAAGGCCTGGCTGCTGAAGCGAGCCGTCGAGGACCCTAAGGGGTTAGTCGGATTGCTGCAGCCTCTGGGGATCCGGAGCACAGCAGAGGAGAAAGATGCAGCGCTTGCGTCTGCGAGCGAGGTGCCAGCTATGGGAGAGTGTGCACGAGAGACCGAGACAAGCCGAGACGCCGAGTTTTGAGGTGCATGCAAAGCTCGAGGAGCAGATGGTGACGGCTCAAAGGCGGTTGGAGGATCTAGAGGCAAGGACGAAGCACGCTGGTAGTCGCGTTGCTTTCTGGCTATTGTGGCAATTTACGGCCACCAGCAACTCATCGGCAGCAAGCTGCCGCGAAAAGCCCAGCAGACAAAGTCAACTTCAACCAGAAATCTCGAAACCAGCATCGCGGCACTCCCTATGATATATTATCATATCATCATATCCTTTTCGGACTGGGTGTCGACTGAGCCCGGCTCATCTGGGCAAAGGCATCAGTCTTGGGAGGGATGACCGCCAGCCAAAGCTACTGGCAGCAAGCCATGCAGCGCAATCGGAAAGAACAGTGAGAGAGCCAAGAGTGCTCGGAATGGAGAACTTGTGACCTTAACAAATCTCGGGATGCCGGGGAAGACTAACACTCCTTCTTGTACGATATGTGGCCGAAATTTTTGTCTGAGACGTGCTGGGCACGATGTATTGCAGCGCACAAAATTGTCCTTCTGTCTCGAGCCAGCCTCCGTTTGTAAGTCTCCTGCCTGCCTGCCTGCCTGCCTGCCTGCCTGCCACAGACACAGACTCATGCTGTCCACAGCTCCTTGAGCCTTTTTGCAGTGGGGAATCCCCCATCCGCCCGCAATGCTTTACGGTATGTGTTGGATTGTTGCAAAGCGCAATGCCCCGCAGGCAAACTTTTTGGAGCGACTTCAGCGTGAAGTGAGCCAAAAAGAGCAAGAGCTCTTGGACGAGGCGCTACCATGATGGCTCAGCGTTTTTCGGGAGCTTTGTGGTTCGCCAGTCACTTCCCAACCCCTCCTAAACTAAACCTTGCTTTTCAGTATCGGCACAGGTGGCATACCTGCGAAGAGCCGGCGAGGCGAAAGAGCGACGGGTGCAGGACCTGCAGGCAGGTGGGGGAGACGTTTTTTGCAAAGTTTCTTCAAAGTTTTCGTGTCGAAGCGAAGTAACGAAACCCTTCACCAATCTTGTTGGGCTGATATTATATGATATGGTTCTTTAGTCTTCTCGAACTCCCAAATGTACAGCCAGCCGGCCTCGCAATTCTCCTGCTGCATGACTTTTGGAGGTAGCCGGGCTCGCCACGTCACAGAAGACACAGGAAACGCGGCAAACTGCCCAAACCTCCGTCTCCCAGCTCGTTAATTTGTTGCCCCTCTGCAGGTCTCAGTTCTGGCCCAATCGTGCTGGGTGCGTTCGGGCGCTCCTTGCGCTGCCTTGGGCCTCCATCTTGGGGTTTGGGCTGTTTCATCCTGGGATGGCACCCATTTGCGCATGGCGCTGCTCTCCTGCTTGGTCGGTTCGGATGCTGCCCTGCCGCCCCGCGTTCGTTGAAACGGTGCCATGCAGCGGGAGATCCGGTTTGATCCTACTTAGACTTAGAAGATCTTGGAAGTGGGGAGGGGGGGGTCGTGGCAACGCACACTAGAGCAACTCTGTGTGACGGGCTCGGCTATGAAACTGACAGCCAGTGTTCCTCGCGATCGGTAGGACTCTCTTCTCCACCCGACACAGGGACAAGTGTGTTTTCTATTTGCAGGTCCTCATACGAACGATATCCGTCAGGGAGGGCCCATGCAGTTTATGAAGGTCTTGCTTTTGGTAAACTGACTGAAGTGGGAAGGCCGAAAATGGGGCCCTGGAGCGTCGGCTTCTGGTCAAAGCCAGCTCGGGAGCTACTCGGCGCGGTCGGGGCAGTCTAGAACTTGGGGGCTTTGGAGTTCATATGGGTTCGCGGTTAACAAAAGTTTTAGAACCTCGGCTGATTCGATCGAGCTCTGGGTTCTAGAAGAATCAGAACAACGGAGTCAAAGGGCCCTGGGGCCCTGTAGCCTCACATCCTCATGCACAGCATGCGCATGTCGGCCTGATATTCTACATCCCACGGACCTGTGGCAGACACCCGCGGACTATTGTGATAATTTGTGGTTTCTTCCATTGTGGAGGCTGGCAGGAATCAACATGTTACAGTAATCAGAGGCGCATGATTTTGTAACGTTTTCCTGGCCAGACTTGATGTGCAAAGTAGTTTGCAGGGTATTGTCTCACAGCTAATGCATCAGTCCGAGCTTCCTGAAGGATCAGGATACAAATAAGGGTTTACTAGTCGGTTGGAGCGAGTATGCTGGCATGCGTTAACAAAGAGCGAGTGGAAGGACTTTAGAAGACAGCTGCGAAAGAACTGCGAGTGCTGAGGTCAGCGATGCTGGAGACGTCATGCTTGAGGCGAGAGCTCAGGGCAGATCCAAGCTGGAAGCCTTGCGGATCCACTACAGGGAGCATCATGGAGCATACTTCCCGAGCGAAGACTGTCGTAGCACATGGCAGTTCGAAGCGATTTATGACACTCCCGGCGTCGGTCGGTAGCTAGTGCACAGTCTTGTTTCCATTCCTGATTCAAGCTGGCATCACCATGCACAAGCCCCGCCCCGACATGTCCGAACCACGTAAACTGGTCGGTCCCTTAGTCCCTTAGTCGCTGGATTCTAATCTGTGGGCCATGGTTACATTTCCTGTCCACAAAGATAGGACTGGTGATTGACACTTCGTGCTTTCGGTGCGATCGTGGCAGTGGCAAGAGTGGGAGGACAGGCACCATCAGAAGGAGGTCCTGGTCTTTCAGGGATGCTGCCTACGTGGCATATGTCGGGGGGGAGGCCACGTGCATAGCATGATCTGTATGATCGCCTCACTAGAGGCAGAGGGGAAAGCAAGATGTGTATTGACGGACACCACACGTACACGTACACACACACACACACACACACACACACATGCGCACACAAGTGACAAGGCCTGTCGCTACCTGGCAGCCAATCTCTGCCTTGTTTTGCCGAGAACTCCGAATCAGAAGGACTAGTGATCATCCGCAAACCTCAGTGCTTGCGGGAGTTCTCAGCTGACCCAGCAGAGCACTTTGGCGACCACCCAAAAAACGAGGGTGAATTTCAGGTCAAGTCGCTCAACCTCCGGCTGCGAATTCCTTTGGATAGATATAGGGTATGTTGTCTCTCCTCGGCCAGGCTTTCAAAATCGGAAGTGGGGGAAAGTCAGCGGTTGTGAGCATGGATGGGTGTTGCACGTTGATGGCGGTGATGTTGGAATCGGCAGCATGGTAGTCGTCGTCGTGGTGATCATCGCCCTCGTCGTGGAAGGAGTCGTACAGAAGAGTAATGATGGTAACTTTTGCTACCGGCGCATGGATGCAGCTTTCCGTCTTGGGTTGTTGTCTTTGCTTGTTAGTGCTTCCGGTTTTTCGTCTGCTTCGATCCAGGCGCACACAGCAATTGCACAAGCCTTCGGCGATTTGTCCGCACAGGCGGGACAGCTAGGCATGCAACCTCTGTTCTTGCTGCAAGCTGTGCGTGTGCTGTCAGCATCCATGCCTGCGGCTTCTGGATGAACCGATCCTGTGCGGGACCAAGCTTGGGCCATTGCGTCGCTGGATCGTTTCCCCCCCTGAGCCCAGCCGGATTTACATGCTTTCAGGATCTAGTATGCTGTGGCAAGACAGGAGGCTGCTGGCCCTGCTTTTCAAGCAGCCGCTCTTCCGGCGGATGTTCGCGGGAGGCTTATGGGATTTGCTTTTAACATGTCTGAAGCAGGGAGATGCAAGCGAGGATTGTAGAGTCAGGCTCTAGAGTGTACTCATTGTCTACCCCAGCTGATTTGTTGTGGTGTTGTAGTTTCTGTTGCAAGCCAAGTTCGCGGCCTCCGCCTTCCTTTGGGCGTTCAGCCTGCTCCACGCGCTGACATCTGACCACGGTGAGACTATCCACGTGTGAGCGAAAAGAACCCGTTTCGCTGGCATACCGTGGCTCGCTGCGGTGCTCGCCGTGAGATTTGCATCACTGATGCCTTCTTCAAATAACTTCTGGGGATGATTCGTGAGTGGCACGCGCGCACAGCTGACTGAGATGATTTGGGTCAAACGTCGTTTGGTTGAAGCTGCCGGCATCATAAACTGCACTTCCCCCCATCTGCGAACTGCCGGAAAAGGTCATCCCGTTCGAGTCAGTCCGAGTCCTGCACCACAGATCCGCGGATCTGCGTGTGTCAGTTTGTCGCTTGTCGCTCGGAGTGCCTTTTGGCTTCCCGTGGATCTGGGTCTTCCCGCTGTCGGACTAGGACAGGGATCACTCCGCGCGATGCTGTCCGTCGCTGTTTGGAGCTGCTCTCAACTGAAAGACCTTGGCCGCAGTCTGGCGCCATGGCAGAGTACGGTGAGTACGAGCTTTTTTTGAAGCAAGAGCTTGAGAAGCTGTGTCCTGGCCATGCAATTCAGGTTGTGGCCCTTCCCAAGTTGTCATGAGTGCCGGACAGACGCTTTTCCGAGGCATGAGAAGTTGGTGGAAAAGTACCAGGTTGACATGCAATATGCAAACGAGAGGTCTTGCGAGCAAGTGGTGCCAGACACGCATCAGCTTATCAAGCCTCGGCCACCCTCACGTTCTGCTAGTGGGTTCATCAGCAACACGAGTAGCCGAGCGAAGATCGATCCGGGATCCCTTCAGCTTGATCTCTCCTCAACTTTTCCAAGCTCTTCGCCACTGGGCTGGGGCTTGGAATCCTCACCGGTCCTAAGCAATTGGGCAAATCTTACCTCCAAGCTGATGAACACAACCCACGTTGAGGAGTCTGACAGCGAGGACGAAGAAGTCGCATCTTATGTCAAAGACATACTGCAACTCGCTTGCTGATGAGTAAGACTGTTGCTGTTGGTAAGGTTTGGTTTCGGATAGCTCAGGAACACACGGAAGTTTCGTCGAATGCCTGATGATAGGGACTCAGCAAGTCGCTCAGGACTATCCGCCCTCAGTGGAAGACTGCGCTAAAGCAGCATGCGTTGAAGCGCGAGAAGACCCAAAACTTCAAGTCGTCAACGCCGCTGAACCAGACGCCCCGAATGAAAGATGCAGCCGTGGATGGCTCCTGCCTTCAGCCACTGGTGAGGAAGCCAAGCAGTAAGCTTCAGATTACTTGGTCTCTTCTCGGTATCTTGTTCATCGTCTGGGATATGATTACAATCCCTTTGGAGCTCTTCGACGATGAAGATATGATATCCTTGCTCTTGGTGGTGGGTAGGTTTACTTTCGGATATTGGATCCTTGATATGCCGCTTCATGCAATCTTCGGAGTGGAGATAGACGGACATCTCGAGTTGCGTCCAGGGGTGCTGCTCAAAAGATATTGGCGGTCCTGGTTCGGTGTCGACCTGATGGTAGTCTCCATCGATGCAGCATTGCTGATCGCGGAGCTGGTGCAAGATCGAGCACCCGCGCCGGCGCGATCTGCTCGATACCTGCGTACCTTGCGGCTCTTGCGGCTGCTGCGGCTGTTGCGTGTGGCAAAGCTGCAGCGGGAGTTGACGAAACTCGCCAACAGTTTCCTTTCCACCTACGCCTTCATGGTCATGCGGGTCGTGTCCGGGCTGTTGATGATTTTGGCCGTGAACCACATCATCGCATGTTGCTGGTACGGTTTGGGGCGCTGGACGATGGAAGATGGCAGCAGTTGGCTGCTCAACGCGGGCATCGCGGATGCGTCTCTAGCGGACTCCTATGCCACTCAGATAACAAAATGGGAAAACGCTTTACATATTTGGTCTGTGTTGGAAAGTTTGAACTTTTTTGGTCCGATATATGATAAGTTTTGTATATATGAAAAAGAGAGGCCACTTCAATCCACTGGGCACTTACCCAGTTCACACCTGCAACGAACAATGTCGCTCCGGTCAACTTCGTGGAGAGGTGCCTTTGAGAGCATGGCATGCAAAGCGTTACTGGTGAAGTTGAGATGCTGAGCCAGCATGAACTCTGCCCGCAAACGCGATGAGAGCAATGCAAATGAACTTTGGTAAAATGCTAAGCGAGAACGGAGCAAGCCATGTTGGGTTTGCATTGCCAGAGCCCTGCCAGGTTCTTCGCAGTGTGGGTCATCCTTCTGGCCATGGGGACGTTCTCTTCTTTCATCAGCTCAATTACTGCAACCGTGAGTACCTTGAGGGCTTCGAGGTCCGAGCAGTTTAAGCACCACTCCTCCTTGGTGCGTTTTTTCAACGAAAGGCAACTTGCCTTGGTTTCAGCTTGCCACGTGTAGTTTTGAAAGGCTGTCTTGTCATGGTCTGGTCGCACAGTGGCTACGGTTCTAAGGAACCTTTCGACCGACACTTATGCAAAGATCAATAATGCACTGAAGAAGCAGGGAATGTATGACATCCGCCTCAAGGAGACAGAGGTCACTCTCTTGAAAGGCGTTCCCGAGCACTTGAAGGCAGGCTCAATGTGGGCAACAAGATGTCCTTTCCCTTTGCAGAATGCCCCGAGGTCGTCCTCCATGAAGAGATGTTCATGAGCTCTCTGTTGTCTTTGCGTATCTGGGATGACTGGAGCCATGAGGATGACCCTTGGCTTTGCAATTGCGGGAGTGATGACTGGTAGTACTGGTTCGAGGAAACCCTACCTAAGCTGAGGATCTCTTAATCCACCGGCAAATCTGTCATCTCGCTATGGTCGAGCATGTGGCCTCCCCTGGGAACGATGCCTTCATGCCCGGCACGGAGTGCACGGAGGTCTACCTTCTGGACCAAGGTCCCTGGGTCACCCATTCAGTTCAGTGATGTTCAGCGCAGGACCCAGCAGTCGCTTTGTGTGTAGCTAGCAACCCGAACCTTGGTTTAGGACTTGAGTGGCCAGGATGGCCGATTCTGAGAAAGCTGAGGCAATATGGGCTACATTGCCAGGCAATTCGCCACCTTCGAAGCAGAGTTTATCTCTCCAGGCCAAGTGTTGTGCCTGCCATGCCTTTGGGCGGAATGGCTTCATCGCGGGCGCCTAACCGCGAATGGTGGTACCACAGCGTATTACAACGGGATCAACTGCGAAAAGTTCTGCAGTCTCGTCAAACAGCATGGCAATCCGCTATGGCAGTACTTGCAAATCTACGGAATACTGGTCATCGGTGAGATCGACGCTCCACAAGGTTTAACGGGTAAAGACTCCGGCAGGGTTGGGAACGTTGTACACTTTGCACACTGTGGGCAATTATTGGAAGGTCAGCGGCTGACAGGTGACTGAGTCCTTGTGAGAGAGAGAGAGAGAGAGACAGGAAGGTGGGCCGTGTCGGCTCGTATGTGTGGGCGCCTGCATGTTTTCGTACGAGTATGCGGGTTTTGCTCCAGGCAGCTGAGCTGCCGCCCGGACCTTCGGTGTCTGTGCTTTCTCGTTGTCGATCCTTCTCTCTCTTGGCGATGCACGATGCATGTCGTTTTGGAGTGTTTCCACACGTCTTATTTTCGGCCGAGCCTGCACTGCGTCTTTTCATGTTCGGGGCATCGGAATCGAGGAGCATGGAACAGCCGAGTGTTTGCCCTTAAAGGGTTTTGAAGTTTACGTTCTGAAGCTAGTTCCCCGCAGCAAGGAGACCTGGATGCAACAGGTTTTGAAGTTTATCAGGCAATGGTTGTTTCGAGGATTTCTGATGCTTGTGAAATTGCCTGCGAAGCACGAAGTTGCATTAGTTTCTAGGGTTCCCAATATGTGTAGACACAGGAGCAGTGGGTCACCCGCTTACCTTGTTCGTCGTTGTGCGTATGTAGCAGGCGCCACTGAACTGTTTGGTGCTCTGCTCAGAGACAAAATCCATTATCTTCATTGGTATCCACATGCGTTGTTCAAAGGGCTGTGGATGCAACAACGAGTGCCAAGCGCGTCGCTGCAACTGCTGCGCGGTCGCAGCGGATGGGTATACGTGTCCTCTGCCCCGGGCCGTGTGCCACCAGCCCCACAGCCTATGCCAGCAACCGCATGCCTGGCTCGCCCCACGTTCTCGCAAGCTTTGTTGAATTTGAAGCCAGAGTTCTGATGTGCAGAACAGCCGAGTATTGGCCGATCATAGGGCTTGCATGCAGTGATAGATAGCTGCCAGAAAGATTCCAGAAAAGAGCAGGTTGACATTCATTGTTACTCTGTGAAAACGTCCGGTCTCCCATCTTGGGAGCAGTAGTACAACGTCACATCAGGCTGCAAGATTGGTACCGTGTTTTCCGTTTGAGACATGGCTTTCGCCTTTGGCTGGGCGTCGGCCCTGCAACGCATGCACCTGTCCATAAAGGAAACCTGTGGCATGACGGCAAGTAACGATGTCTCAACCTGTCCCTGCATGAAGCCGGTGGCATGATGAGCAACGATTTCTCAACTGCACGGATGATTAGGGAAGACCCGCTAGCACATGCAAAACCGCAGCGGCATCAGGCTGCTCCAAAACCACTGCTGGATTCCCTGGCACTGCCTTCTTAGCCTAAGCCGCATGGCAAGATCGGTCCAAACTAAGGAACACATGGATGCGGAGGACATCTTCGTCACGGACAAAACCTTAGCTGAAGACAAGATGCACGATATCGCAACCCGTGCCGGACGCTTCGCGGACATGGTCAACAACCGGCACGAGTCAGAGAAGGCGTCCTTCATGGCAACACTAGGCGCAGTCGGACACCACCACCACCACCGTTCGCCCTCGAGACAGTCCACGAACCGCTCACATGGCTCCATGGATCACGGTGAAAAGCAACTCTTGCATCTCTGAGACGTGGAAGGGGAAGTGAAGCTTGGGCCCTTGGGGGATGAGACTTTTCCGAGCTCGGCTCCAGGCCTCAGGCGAGGCCGGGCCGGCCAGGCTTGCGGGCTTCTTGAACTCTGCAGCTTCGGGCCACTAGAAAGCCGCGATGCTGGTATACGTTGGCAAGCGAAACATCTGTTACTCGTAAACTTTATCGTCCTCATGTGCCCCGCTGCAGACGCTGTCCCACACAGCATGCGGAGCATGCTGCCCCTGTCGACGAAGTTTTCCATTGCACACACTGAGAGTCCAGCGCCTGGCAGTTTGGAGAAATTGCCATACGCCTCTCGGTGTACGCACCGGCCTGCAAGATCTCCTTGTGTGATACAGGATGAGCGGCTGCCGCCTAGCAGCTGTTTGCCGTGTTTCTGTGTGATTGTCAAAGTGGGCCGGGATCTTCAGTCTCACTGTCTCGTTCATTCCTTGTCGAGTTTCTGCTCAGATCTGCAGCGGCGAGATAAATAAGAGATGACAAGAGATGCCACCTCATGGGCACTCCCGATCAGAGAGAAGCCTGGCCAATTCCACGTGGCTGCCTCGAAAGTGATGTGCTCCCTCCGCACCGGAAGTGCGAGGGAAGCAGGGGAAGTGACTTGTAGATTGAGGGGCTTGAAATACAGAGTCGCCAGCGATGTGGGGCTTTAGGGTTTCGGCTTGGACTGGTGAATCAGTGCAGGTTGAAACCGATGTTGGCGCATTCATTAGAACACTTGTATGGGAAAGCATCCAGCGATGGAGTGAAGTCGCCCAGTGAGCAGCAAGAGAGAGGCTAGGAATTTCATTGTGGAGTTTGGCTCAGTCGGGCCTCTCCAGCACTACGGGCCGCATCTATGGTGAGGAGGCACCCCGCATTAGCGGAGGTTTAGTTTCAATGAGGCTGCTGATGCTGATGAACAAGTAGCGTGCATTCTTCGCAAGCAGTGGCAAAAACCTGCGCACATAGCCTCTTGCCTGGTCTTCTGCTGGAAGAGTGAGAGAAACGCCTTGCAGAGGCGGGGAGCCGCTGGATCCCAGAGACGAAGTGGTTTTGCCTCTGAGGCGTGGCTTCCGCGGTCGAAGGGTGTGGAATTTCAGTTAAGGATTGAAGGCTTGTCGGGTTTTCGGGAGCTCAGAATGTGAGTTGTGTTGTTTTCCCGAAGTGGGCTCAAGACTCGAGTGTACTGTAGGAAGTACAGTCAAAAAGGAGTGCCGCAGATAGGCATCATGCCTTCTGCGAACAGGAAAGCTCGGACATCCCCCGAGGGTTCAGCTTACGAGCGTAAGAGTTTTGAAGTTCGAGCCGGCACCAATCACCGAGTAGGAAAGCATCAGACAGGTCTGCCACGACAGCAGCTTCCAGCTTCGAATCGACGGCATTGATTTGACTTGGCTGTTGCGCGCCAGAAACACGCTATGTTGAAACTACGAGACGTCAAGTAGGTAGAAGCACACTCTTCGGATCCAAGTGTAGGCCGTGGCTGACTGGTAGAGGTTAGGAGCTCTTTGCAGAGCTCTGGGGGAGAAGCAGGAAAGGCGCTTTCAAACTGCTCTTGATAATTCTTAGTTTTGCCCAAGGATGGCGATTCAATCCATCTCCGACAGCGGCGGTTAGGTGAATAGGATGATCGGCTTATGCGTCTTTATAATGCCTTCTCAGATGCGACTGTCCAGTCGAGTCGCTGGCCCGCTACATCTACGAGCATTCCAACCCCGGAGTATGATATGACTCCATGAGGCAGCTTTAGCCTCCAATGCCCAATCCGACATAAAGTTTTGATTATGCGCAGAAGCTGCGAGCAACTGGGTCTGCCCGGGTGTGTGGGGTCTTGACGTCACGGCTACTGTGGTACCTGGTGTCTGGTTCTTGAAATCGCAATCGCTTGACTGGTCCACAAAATCTGGCCACGAAGCGGTTTAGAACCCCGACAAGGGGAATTTCGAATCATAAAAATCACGCAATATCTGGTTCGACAGCTCGCCGAAGTTTTCAAACATCAGAAATATGTGAGCTCCCCTCGAGCCGCTACGTTATGTCCTGCATGTCCTGCTTCAAAGGTTGTTTTCAGAATCCCGATTGCTGGCGACGTGTGTCCTTCAGTGGCCGAGCCCATCCAGCTACGACTGCAGCTGATGTCAACAATCGGTTTTGATGTTCTCTGGGTACTCGAGGCTTTGTTAGCTCCCTGCACTCGGCATATGCCTAAGCTTCCCCTGACTACTTTCTCCCCAATGACCAACTCGGCTGAACTTTGGGAGGTCCTCACGGCATGTGATCTGTAGAAGCCCAGATGCTTGTGATAATGGGCAGGCAGTGCAAGCATTCGTTGGTGCCCTGGTGTGCGCAGCTCGTTTTCCAGCCCCTAGCGCTAGTGGCTATGATGGATGCGGACGACGCGCTGACATCGCCGAGGCAGTCCTTTCGCGCCGCGTTTGGTTCTTCGTTGCTGCTCACAATCTTTCTGACGCACCATCTTTTGAATGGATTTGGTGGTGGCCTTGTTTTCCAGGCCATGGATTTCACATATCGAGGTCTCAAAGTGGACGGGCCAACACTTCAGGTCCTAACCGCCGTTGCTCGGTTGCCATTTTCCATGAAGGCACTGATGGGTTTAGTATCGGACGGTTTTCCTATTTGCGGGCGTCGCAAAGCACCGTATTTGTTCATTGCTACCGTGGCCGCTGTGGCAGCTTTCTTCTTCCTTGGATTTGCCAGCACGCCAAGCACACAGAGCACTACCGGCTGTCTTTTCGCGATCTTCTTTCAGATGGCATTGGCAGACCTTCTGGTCGAAGCCAAGTATTCCGAGAAAGTGAAGACCATGCCTGAGAGGGGGCCTGAGCTACTCACCTTTGTTTCATGTGGTGTTTCCGTACTGAACCTTATCTCCACCATTTGCGCCGGAGCGCTGCTGCAGAACTATGGGACCCGAATCTGCTATCTCTTGGCCTTGCCCTTCGCTGCGCTTCTCCTGTGGCCAGTTGCTCGCAACCATTTAGAAGAAGAGAGGATTCCTGGCTCGAGGCGGTGCGGACCAGACCTGCACATCTGGAGAGGGAAAGGCAGCCTTTTCTCGAAAGCGTATGGAGTAGCTTCAGGGATGGAGTCGTAGTAGGAATCAGTAGGAAGTTTGCAAGCTTATGAAATCCCTCTGCTGAACAGGATTCATCCCCTTCATGCTTGCATTGGCATCGGGACTTGCCGCTCTGATCCTGCTGGTGTGCTCCTTGCTAATCAAGTCGGTCAGCGTCAACTTCTTGGTGGCCTTGTCCCTGGGGATGCTCAACTTAGCTTTGCTTTCATGTTTCCTGCGCCCGGTGATTGCCAAGATTAATGCGTTTTATTTCCTGCAGAGTATTTTTCACATCGGCACCCACGGGGCTGCCTTTTATTTCTTCACTGACACAGAAGAGTCGTATCGAGACGGTCCCCATTTTTCATACCAGTTCTACGTGACGGGCATGGGCTGTGTGGCGGCAGGCTGCAGCTTGCTTGGAGCAGCGTGCTACAATTTTCTTGCAAAAAAGTGGACCTATCGCTCTATGCTGATGTCGACGAGCCTTGCGTATGCACTCGCAAACGGTTTGAGTGTGATCGCCTATAAGCGTGTTAACATCAAATATGGTATCCCTGATGCTGGGTTCATGCTCGCTTCGAGTGCAATGCAGACAGTGCTCGGCCAGCTGGCCTGGATGCCAATGACGGTGATGCTGGCCCAACTTGTGCCGCAAGGACTTGAGTCAGTGATGCACCCCGACAAGAAGCTCAAGGCCTTAGGCCCTCTCATTACATTTGCCACCCTAAAGCTTTAAACCTTGTCCGAGTTGCGAGAGCCTAAAGCTTCCAACCTGAAGTTTCTACACCCTAAACTGCCCTAAACTCTTTGCCGGGAGCGAGTGGGAACAAAAGTCTCTTCTCTGGACGATGGAAGGTATGCATTGCTCTCGGCTTCGCTGAGTTTGGGCTTCGCCGTCGCCAACTACGGCGGGGCCCTCGTTCTTAGCCTTCTTGGCGTAACCCCCAACGGTGCAGTCCACGAGGATCAGCGCTCCAATTGAGCAGCACAAGCAGGGATCACAGCTCGGATGAAGGGTTCTGGATAACAAGATCCACATCAAGAGCTCTAATCAGAGCCGTGCGTTTCGTCACTGTCCCTACAGTTGACCCTTACCCTTACCCCATAAGCTTTGACTAAAACCTTGGACCCCTTTTGAACCTGTTTTGAACCCTTAGAAATCCTTTAGGACTGTTTTTGTCATAAACCTTTCTCCCGCCCTCGTAGGGTCTAGGGCCTTACCTTGTGTCGGAAGTTCGTTCGAACCTCGGAAGGACGCGAAGTTCGAGAATCTTTGGATCGCCGCACTGCTGTCGGCCTGCGGCCCTTGCGTGCCCCTCTTCTTGGCGACTGGCCGTGGAAGTCAAAGACTTTTTTTTTCTAGGTTTTGGGGTGTAGCTGGTTTTAGTTGAGGCTTTTGGGCTTTGGGGGTTTTGTGTTTAGGATTTGCCCTCGATTTGTTAACGAGTGGGCCTCAAAAGACTGCGAAGATCTTTCGCCCCTCAAAAAGGACCAGTCTCCAAGCTCTTCGAGAGTTTTAAGTTGCGCCAGTCTTCAACCGATAACAGCGAAGATCGTAGAGAGCCACTCACAGATGAATTCGAACAAGGAGAGCCTGGCTGCTGCATAGAATTACCCCCACGCCTCTGTGTGCGGATGGATACACACACACACGGGAGGCAAACATACATACAGACAGACGTATATGCACAAGTTTACCTTCATTGATCATACATGTTTGTGTGTACAAAGACATGCACACGTGTCCACAAATACATGTGCTGTCACATGTTGTTAGTCTGACCGTCCTGCCAACTTGAGTATTTCAAGGGAGCTTACTAGCCGTGTAGCAAAACCCAGCACCACGCATTAGCATGTATGAGGTGTTCCTGTGTGTGAAGTAGAATACCAGCCAAATTCGCTGCCAGGCCTGTG